TTGGGGTTATTTTTTATTCAGATATAAGTGTCGCGAACAACTAGCAGAACTTTCACGGCGCACCAGAGAGGGTCAATGAAGTGATGCTAGTTACTGAAACACAGTTATTAAACTATATTTTATTAAGTAGAATGAAAAAAAGAAAATAACTTTTGCACTGTTCAGTCTGGGACAGTTGAAAGTAGAATTTTGCGATGATTTCTGGAAATTTATTGATCCATTAACTTTAATTAATTAACTTGATCCAACATTACAAAATCTATCTGTGAATAGGATCCTGATTCTGGGCTGAATTGTCTGGAAAAGGTCTTCAATGTTGGTGAACACCGCTGCTTTGGTGCTTCAGTTTGAGAAATCCTCTTGTTCCTATCAGTCATTAGTGATTTTTGGCTGAAATGATAGGTTTACGTGATGTCATCAGCCATGATTAAGATAAGCAGCAGACTGTTGAAGCAACAATCATGCCTGCCGGGTGTGAGGTGTTGAGTTAACTGTTGGAAACGGGACCAGGTTATAAGAAGCTTTTATTTAACTGTAAAAATGTGGGCAGGTTACGAGCTTCACAAAGCAAACATTTCAGTGTTGAATTAGGTCACAAGGCCTTTGTTATACAGATACTGTATTGATCAAATTAAAAGGGGACCAAGACAACGGGTCTGAACAAAAACTGAAACTTATTTTATGTTTAATTTATGCGTCATTTCAATGATGCCAATAATTTCATTACCTGCTAACATGAAAAACTATTTCCTGGAATCCACAGACCAGATCTTTCAACAAAAGTCACCTCATTTAAAGCAAATGGGAGGCTGATTTAATGGACCTTGTTAATTCCTCTTCAATTTAGTGCAATTTATGAATGAAGTGTTCCAGGACACCTAAATCTGCACCCATTACTCTATTGTAATTAGAGAAAATCTGCAGTATGTACTCATTAAAAGCAGGAGAAGTTACACATATGTAACTGTTGCTACTGATCTTTGAACCTTTTTCTGTGATTTTGTTTTTCCACACTATTGTGGCAATTCCTTTCTCATATTCAGAATAGATGTCAGCTCTGTTTGAGCAACTTCTGAGAAATAAATGACACTTCATATCAAGTTACATGTTAGTGTTTTAGTGTTCAGTACTTGTTCTTTGCTACCTAGTTGCACATAACAGAACATGTCGTGGGAAGACCTTGTAGTCATGTTTAATGATAATCATACTATACAAACTTACTTAGAATAAGGGACACCACACCCTCAACTTATTGTGGGCTCAGGTTGCATGAATGCTCTTTGATTCCTCCGGACACTTTATACTGTGCACAATTTCTAGCTTCCTAGAAATCATGGCCTTTCTACCCTCAAAAATTCTTCAAATCCCACGAGGACACATGACTGTGACACAGTTGAGCAAACTAAATGAAGCAAAGGTCAAAATTGTAGAGTCAGGAAGCTTGAGTTAAATCCCTGTTAAAGTATTTCTCAATCCGTCCACTCAGACATAAATAAACAGTTCAAGTGTAAAGTTCAGAGGTCTTGTTAGGTGATGTCAGTAAATAACATGCATTACATTTCTGCGATACTACTTCTCAGGACACTGACAGACAAGGAAGGCACATGATTTAGTTTTTAAGTGGAGGGATTGGTGTCAAGAACTGGCTCTAAATTGGATGTTTAATGGGGAAGCTCCACCGATTTTAGGTCTATTTACAGAGAGTGCTACTGCATAAAAGTTGTATAAATCAGATAAATTGCCCCACATGATGTCACTTGAGTCAGCGTCAGTTGGGTCTGAAGACTACAAGTTTGTAAATTAAAGAAATTGTAGATTTTATCCATAGGGTCGTGTGTTCTTTATACTATGGCAATTTCCCTAAAATTATATTGTTTTAAAAATCTCAGAAACATTGCCTTTCTTACAGTATCGCAATGCAATAATTTGCAATGCCTGTGTTGTGATACGTATTGTATTGCCAGAGTCTTGACAGTACACAACCCTAGTTTTACAGTGTGATGGAAAAGAGCCAGGGCTGAATAGTGTGCCTAACCTTTACCAGAGACATACAAATGCATTGACAGCTAAAATTATTTCATACAGGGAGGTGACAAAGCATTTCCTGTGGCATTTTGTGGGAATTCCTGTGGCATTTTTGATGTCCTCAGTTATACTCAGAATTAGCTTATGTCAGTCTATCCAACTTTGAATGACTTTACAATTTATAATTGTTGTTTCTTTTCATGCAGCAGTCCAAACAGATTAATCAAAAAAAAAAAAACAGGGTTGATGAGCAGAATCAATTAAATCTGAACCCTGTTGTTAAGTGCTGCTCCCTGTGGATGCAAATCTCTTTTGTTGCTGCTCAGCAGACCGCTTTCTCTCTTGTTAAATTGTGATTGGTTACTGGTCTGTGTGCATTGAGAATACGTCCATCTAATGACTCTACCTGCTATCTTTTTAGTGCTCTCTGCATGCATGACCTCCAGTTGGTCACAGTTTTTACTCGATGGAGTGTGAGACTGTAAGTAAGAAAACATATAACATATAATATATAATCTCCCTCATTCGCCTGTGCGCTCTTTGACTGGACTTCTTAACAGGGCTGAAAAATAAAGACCGAGATTTGTTTGGGCCAGAAAAAGTTAAATAATCTGAACTGTTTAACCTCAGTGTACTTCTGACTTCACTTCACGGATGAGTGTTGAATTAATATTATGCTGGTTCGGCTTCCTTCAGAGATTGTCACATCGTCAAATCCAATCAAGAAATTCGGATTCTCCCGTCACTTTCCGTCTAGCAATTACAGCAACTTTACCCAGACTGACCCTTTGTTATTTATTTTATTCTGAGTGTCTAGTCTCAGGAATGTTAAGAATTGTTGTACCTCGACGTAAGCTGATGAAGATCTCTGACATGTGAACACACTTTAACCAAGGTCTGCTCCAGATACACTGTAAAGTTCTCTGTGTGTGTGTGTTGTGCAAACAGAAAAAATCCATAGTGGAAACTTCAGCCGTTTCACAGAACTGGTACACATACATAATATTCACATGACTCACGTGACATAGGGCTGCAGTAATTGCCATATGACCAAGTGCAGTATCCATATTGTGCCGCCCTACTCGAACATGACATGGTACATTTAAGTAGATTTGTGTGGGGCCAGCAGGTATGACATTAGGTTTATATTATGAAGCATTATCACAGTTATTTTACTAACAATAAATGTAATGATAACTGATATTTCTTTTCATGTTTTGACCCCTGATGTGTTATTGATTACTGTTTGGCCAGTTAAAAGTTCAGGACTTAATTTATCAGTTATGATTAATTCAGATATTTTAGCACTTTTGAATACATGCAAATACAAACGTCTGTAATGAAACCCGGGTATTCTGCTGCTCTTGGTGGTGGTAGTGATTGAGTCAACCAAAGAATTTTATTCCCCTCTCTCTTACTGGCCTTCTCCCCTGACATGATCGTCCTTAAGGAGCTTACTGAGATTTGCTCTTTAGCGTAAACGGCTCGGCGAAGTCCCTGTCAGCTGCTTTCACTCCCTCGTAGTCAGAGACTGCAAGAGGCAAGACCTCTGACTTAAGGACACTAAGACAGATCTGGTCCCTCAGTAGTGTCTGTTTATATGAAATTTCGACTTTGAGGTAGGACTGGGCAATTAGACATGTTTATTAAACAACCGACTATATTGCTTGGAAAACTATATTTGTAGGAATATTTTTCAGCTGTATTGGATCCCAGTTGGTATGTTGGTAAATGACAATTATTCAAAGACCCAAGAGTAACCTTTTAAAACATAGCTATGTAGAGGGCTTCTGTGGAGCTGAACAATTTACCAAACACTGTCAGAGAATCAACCAGTTCTTACACTGGAGAAACAAATGCAGATGTACCTAAAACTGTGTGACTGTATGTTGCATTTATGGATGCTTGTGTTCTTAAACGTAGCCTTTTGTTCGAGCAAAGTTTCTTTTATGTTTTGGTTTTTGACCTTTGCTTTCATTCTTGTTAGTATTTTAACAGAGAAGAAGTTTAACAAATGCTACATTGGAAGTCAATTGGCGTCTAATAAAACAAACAATAAACCAGGTGCAAAAGTTAGCCACTAGGTTAAAATATACATAAAACGGATGGGAGCAAACATGAAAAATAATTTCAGTTTATTGGATCATTGGTTTTCCAGCTGGAATGTTTTTCTCTCGTTTGTATCATTATATATTTATTATCTTTGGGCTTTGGATCGTTAGACAAAACCACTCATTTCAAGATGTCACCTTGAGCTCTGGGAAGCTGCGATGTGCCTTTTTACAATATTTTCAGACTTTTTATACTAAATAATTGATTATTTTTGTTTTTTTTTAAAACTGGAATTACATGAGAAAATATGTCTGAATATTTTTTTTTTATCCACCAGGCAGATTACTTCCCCTTGATGACACTTTCTGCTGTTTTGTTGCTGTGATATGTTTTTTTCTGATGCTTGAACATTTCCTTTCCCCATGCTGAGTCAGTGTGCTCCATTTCTGATGATCTATTCTGGTGGTTTTTTTACTTTGTAAGTTTTGTTTTGGTCTGAGTTGAGCGGCTGGTGTCGTGGATCTGCGGTTGTTTTTTGCTTAGTTTTTCTGAAAATGATGCCACAGCTGCATATAAGGCAAAGACTCGAAGGGCTTAAGGAAGGCAGATCATTTATTGAGAGCCTACCTGCTGCAGGTAGATAAGACAAATCATGGGAAAGTTAATAAAAAAAACAATGAAAACTAATTTAACGGACAAGTCGCTACGCGTGGGCAAAACTGAGGAAGAAAAACTAGCTCTTCTGTGTTTTAGCTAGTGCCGTTCAGCTGATTTTTATCACAATCATCTCATCTACTAATTTCAAATGTTTAATTTCTTGCTTTCCTCTCCATTCACTGCTGTTGCCAGATTGTTTTTAGGCGATCTGTGTTTATGTATGCAGAGCCTGTTGTAATGTCGACTATCTCAATGTGTTTCCACAGAGTCTACTGGCCCTGCCAAGGTGGTGAGAGCAGGGAACCCGCCCAAAGCCAGACGTGGAGGAAAGGTAATATTCTGTGTGTGTCTGTATGTATGCATATATGTATCATTGGAGCTGGGGTTAAACGAGAAAATTGATCAAATTAATGTTCCCTGATTTCCACATCAGCCCAGTTTCAAAAAGTAATGTAGCTCATGTAGCTCGTAATATTGAGTCCAATTTGGTTTTAAAAAAATCAAAGCTGCTACTTGTCTCTTTTGTTATGTAGAATTACAATCATTGTCTCAAAGTCTATTTGATGTTTCAGGGCTTTTCTTTATTGAACTATATCCTCTATCCTTTACATGTAACGGGTAGAATATAAACGAGGGATCAACGTTCTTTGAAGACATTTTTGATCCTTTTTTTAAGGTATTTCGTTCAGTCAGGATAAAGGGTTTGGGTATAAAGAATATAAATATGAATGAATAGAATATAAAAGAAAAACTTTGAATGCTATTTTGTGCATTTATTTATGTCAGTCTAACAAATAACAATGTTAAATTCCAGTATACAATATTAATTAGACATTCTGAAATATATGTAGAGGAGGAAACACTGTACTGACAATATAACACGATATCCATTTTAATTATATTAAATGTTGGTATATGGCTGATGTTAGACATCCATATTTGTATGGTTTTCAGGCTATTAAGTGCCAAGTTATGTACTGTATTGAATAATGTGTTTATTTTCAGTTGGTTGTTTTCTGTAGATTTTAAAAGAACAGATTCAAATGTTCAGTTTTTCACAGTTACTCTGCATGAACATTATTTTAATTCTTCTAAATACTAATATATTATGACTACAAATTGAGAACACAACCTGTATTTTATATCATTATAGACAGTAAGTTTCAGGGCCAATTCAAACAGAAGTTCTTCATTGGTACAGAGCTTCTTCAGAGCTCCGTATGTGCAGTATTTATCTGTCATGCCTCAAGCTGTATGGCAATCTCCTTTCACACTTCCTGGAATGCAAATGTGAGTTCTTGGTGAGCCAGTGGCCTGGCACATAAACCATACAAACTCTTCCCCAAAGCATTTCATTCATAACTTCCCACCTTTTGATGGCAGTTACACTCCAGGGTTGTTAACCACACCTTGACCACAAACCTTTATGATGTCTTTGTCTAAAGTACAACACTTTCCAGATACACGTGACACTCCTTCTAATTCAGCTTTATTTTTTTAACGTCGTTCCTCAGGTTGGAGATTTTGCAGACGCCAACAGCTGGCCGACTCCAGGGGAGATTGCAACTAAAGAAGTGCAGGTAGGTGTTATTGATGGTTTTGGAAGTGTTGAGTCACAGGTTGGTAGTTGTGCAGAGAAACACACTGATGAGGTGACGCTGGTGTCCACTGACCACTCTCATAGCTGCTGCAGTGGAGCCAACCTCCATACATGTAAATACATGTACAATAGGTTTTAGTGAAACTGAGGAAATTGTCCATGTAATGAACTTTTTACTGGATTTACTTTTTTTTTTTCTGTGTACTCGTGTATGTCAGACTTGCCTTTTTAACTTCCTCTCAGCTGCTTAGGCCACAGAATCAGCAATATAATGTTTGCAATTTTAGATTTATATCTAAAAGTGAGATCTGACTAAAACGTAACTTAATGGTACCTCTGGACCTGATAGGGATTCATTGTTTTGCTTGTAATTAGGATGGTTAAGGTCTTGGCTTTGTGATTTTTGTGATTGTAAAAATTATTTTAAAATCAGCCAATAAAATGCAAGTTGGAGTGTCTTTATCGTCTGTAATGAGACAAATTTCAGAATATGTGAGCATAGTTTAGTAGATTTAGTAAAAAGAGATCGAATAAGATCTTCAGATTTGGTTGGATCATTCAGAAGAAGCCTAACTTACCTCCTGAGCTACTGTAGAGGACCTCTGTTTCCTTCCACACCTCCCTCCATAGTTTGAACAGGAGGCAGAAGAATTGGAGGATTGTATAAATAAATTGGATCTCAGCATGGAAAATGTAAACACGGATTTTGCAAACTGACATCCAAACACACACCTTTGACCCGTGATATTACTATACTAGCTACTACAAACCAAAAGCTAACAGCCTGCAGTTTTAAATGGTTAGCCAGTTGCCCACAATCACATTTGATTGCATTCATTTGCCCTCAAGTTCAAGATGAGTCATCAAAAATATTTAATGTTTGACAGAAAGAGAAAAGACAGATTTTGATATTAAATACTTGTGTTTAAGTGATGTCTGCAGGAGATTATATGACGCTGACACCTGAGTTAAAGCTCGGTAATCATAATAACATATAATGATACTTTTGACGTGATACCTCTGCAATAATAATGTGACAGTATTGGATGCATTACTCCGTTCTTTCTTATAGAATTAAGTTTTATACGAGACCTGTTGTGGCGGTAGCAAAAAATCCTTAATATTGACGGCAAGCAAGAAGAGGCAGAAAGGACTCTGTTACTTCACTTGTAACAGTCAGTTACAGGCTAAGGGAAACCTTTATAAGACTAATTTAACATGGTTGACAGCCCAGAGTGAGGAACTGTTTATAAAAAGAGTATCTTAGTAGTTTCAAGTAACACGTTATAATAATCGCCAACCAATCAGAACGAGCAGCTCAGCTTCACTTTGCTGTAGTGGATGTGTGTAGTTTTCTACAATAGGTATTTTAGTGGTTGTGGCTGTAATTACACAGCGGCTAAACAGCACGTCCAGACAGAGCAGTCTGCTTCTGCTGGCCCGACTTTGTGTCCTCAGCACTGCATGTTTCTTTTTTTAAGAGATAGAGTTAGTCCAGGCTCACCACTGTGGCAGGACCTCTCGGACAGTTTGGAGACAAAACAAAGATGGCTGACCTCAAAGCAGGGATCAAAATGTTTTAACTCGGAAATTATAAAAAAAAAAACATCATTGCGTTTATTTTGACAGATATTGCAAATGTGATATGATTCACAATTAGTAGGAATGATCAGTTTTGCATAACAAAATTGAATTTTCACTTTAAAAACTGATAAAATTGTTATTATTAACAAACATGTTCTCTATAAAAAAATTTTCTAGACCACATTTACCTTCATCAAAAAATTGCAGTTTCTGCTACATATTGCGATTTCAATGACATTTTGATTCATGTTGCAGACCTAATCTTTATATAGAAATGTTAATAAGACAATTGGTACTTTTGTAATGATCACATGAGATGATGTTGAAAAATGAGGCGATCCTTTCGTGCGTGCCCAACCGAGTCATTTGCTGCTTTGTTCGCTTCTGTTTCTCTTCTCGTGCACTCATTCGCTTAAGCTGAACAGCCAATCGGAGTGATTTCTCTCACCGGTGGCCTCCGCTGCTGATTCAACATGCTCAGTCAGCAGGAAAAGCTGCAGACGAGTGCCAGCAGTGCAGAACACACCTCAAAAACTACGGCTGCAGACACTCACCGATGGCCCCGCATTGGCCCGGTGTGTCAGTGCCTTTTTAACACCTGTTGTTGTATTCAAGCTGGACTCCAGTCTAGACCAGCTCAGCTTAGGTTTTTCTAGCGGCCTTCACCATACATCCAACATACTGACCCCCTCCCCTATATCTACAGCTGTTGGTCCGACAGGGGATGCATCTAATTTGTTACAGTAGCAGCAGTAGTCAATCACCCTTCAGAGGCGTTTTTCTATTTCTGATCTCTGGCTGACACTGTGTCAGAGGAGAGCAACCCTGGTAACCTCCTCTATTTTAGGAAGCCAGGTCCGAGCGAACATGAGGGAGAGCGCGTGTGTCCCCGAGCAGGGTCACATCATTGGAGCCAGGAATAACCGGCGGGTCCGGTGGCAGAAATCGTTTGTAGAGAGGGGTGGAGTGGCCAAGGCCTGGGAAGGGATGTCCTTTTAGGGATCCCCTTCATTAAACCAATCCTGGATCTGTGCTTATGCTATTTTTAGGGTGCTAGAGTTCATGGTCCTTCACGTAACATTTAAAGCTGTAAATCAATCGCTGAATTCCACAGATTATGCACACTGGGAAATAGAAGCTGAAATTTGATATAAGAGGGGTTTTGATTGCGAAGTTAAACCTCAGATTTCATGCAATAAAATGTCCAGTTGCCAAAATTAAGAAAATAAGTTTAAAAACGCCTACTGAGAGTATGTTTATCTAAGGTAACGTTTCTGTAACTTGAATAAATTTGCACTTGTAGCTTTTCCCTTGAAGATTTTAAAGCATAAAACACACTTGAATGTCATGTTGGCACCACAAACACATTTTCATTCTTCCTGACATTTAAGAGACATCTACGGGATGTACACTAAATCTCAACACTGACACGTAGTGACAAATAATATTGGGCAGAAACAGTTAACAGACTAATTAATCAAGAGAAAATTACTTAATTACAATTTTTATAATTAGGTTCAGGTTCTCAAACGTGAGTGTGTTGCTTTTCTCTGGTTTTATATTATTTTAACTATATATTTAATTGATATATATGACTATATTTGAGTTTCGACTGCTGGTTGAACAAAAACAGTCAATTTGACAAGTATCACCTCGTGCTCGGGGGAACATGTGAGTTTCATTTTCATCATCATTTCATCATTGTTTGATATTATAGATTAAATTAGAGCTACAACAATTAGTCAGTGAATCAGGAGGAATGATTATAGTGACCCATACGCAGGACAGGCTTCCATGTGTTTTGTTGTTCATTTGTAACAAAACTACTTGTCTGTTTGTCTTATCAGTTATCACCCCATTTTGTTGTCTGTTTCTTTTTGTTCAGAGTGAAATGGATTTCTTGTGTTGGATGGTGGTTTATACTGTAACTGCAGCCATGTTCACGATCCTTTATTTCTGTTTGTGAAGCTGTCTGTAACAGAAGCTTATCTGTACCTTCCTGTGGTGGAGGAAGAATGAATCAGCATCCCTCTGATCTCAGCATTACTGTCGACATTTTCTCAACCGTTGCACCACATGTTGTCATTGCTTCAGGAAATGCACCCCACCTCTCACACCTGAGCTTTAAACACAGTTGTCTAACTTTAATGGCTTTTTCTTCTTTTTTTTTTTTTTTTTTTTTACCATTTCACACTTCACAATCCAAAGCCAAAATAATATATGCCTTGTCTTTATGTAATGGCACAACAGTAGCCATTGAGATGATATGGGTTGTACTTTTTAAAACCCAGAGGGAGCTCAGTAGATGCAGCAGATGCTTCCTATTATCCACAGCTTGTGCAGCATCCATTTGGCATTTTCACTGTGTTTGATGGCTACAGGAAGAAGCATAATGCCCTTGTGCCCTGAGAAGAGCTTTTAAAGAGGCAGTAATTAGGTTTTTTTCACTCCATCATAACAACAAACAAAAAAGACTTAGATTATAACTGCATGGAAAGACTCACTGATGACTTTGTAAATTCAGTTCAGGGCCTGAAATTTGAAGTTTTAAGACTTCTTCCTCACATCCATAGAGTTCAAACACCTATGTGTACATATCCTACATACTGTGTGTGTGTGTGTGTGTGTGTGTGTGTGTGTGTGTGTGTGTGTGTGTGTGTGTGTGTGTGTGTGTGTGTGTGTGTGTGTGTGTGTGTGTGTGTGTGTGTGTGTGTGTGTGTGTGTGTGTGTGTGCGTGCATCATAATCCACCTCATTGTCTTCTCTAAACTCCTCTTCCCTCCCTCTGTTCAGATTGAGGCAGTGACACGGACCGTGTCCTGCCCGCCGACTGTCAGGCAGGTCAGAGACTCATGGAGATTCACTGTAAGTTCAACCAGCAGCCTATGAAACCTGCAGCCTGCCTATTCCTCTAACAAGTCAAAAATCTAAAAATTCAACACCACACAAAGAAAGAAACATCAAAACAATGTCATAAAGTCAGTTAAAACCCTATGTAAAGTCAAACTGACTTCTCTTCACTCTTTGTGTATGGAAACCTCAAACTTCCTGTCCCCTTGTGGGAGTAACCGACGTGTTGATAACTTTTGTATTCCACCCAGAAAGTGGAAGCTAGTTAGCTTAGCTTGCTAACTTTAGCACTCTGAAGTCATGTCCTGGACACTCAATGCTGGGTTCATCCCAAATTATTCAAAGGAGTTCATTTTTTATTTTTAGTTTAGCGTATTTGACAGAGAGGACACCCGGTCAGACAGAAGTACAAGAACACGAGAGTTATTTTAAGACTCATTTACAATATGTTCCTTTATGTAAATACAGCAGGAGTCCAGGTGAACAGGTGACATTATATACACATAGCACCAATCAAATAACAGCACAGATATTATCCTTTGCACCAAAAATGTCCCCTCCCCCAGAGTACAATATCGGGGGTGCTTACATTGCAGTTAAATCGTGTTATATTTGGTAATTACAGTTTTGACCAAATAGTGCACATGCGTTCAAACTAAGACCAATGATTTATATATTTTCTTGGCAAAAATACACTCAAATTTTACACACCAAGCTAGATTTGGGCTCAGTTCACAACCTGCTGCAATGTTTAAAGCTCCAAACGTATATTTTTTTTGTTTTAGCATCTTGACTCAGTTGGATTTTATTTTGCAGAGTGCTGAATTCTGTTATCGAAAGCCTAACTGCACCCGTGTCTGTTCTAATCCTCTGCTTGCTTCTGTGCCTCCTTTGAGAAATTTAATGTAAAATCAACGTTCACGTTCTTTATATTCAACCATTTTAATACTAAGTATACACAAGCTCGGCATTTAGGCCACAGATTAGTAAACCTTCATTTATAATTAACTTTTGTTTTGGACTTTGTGCCTTTTTTTTTTTTTTTTAAAGACCAGTAGCACTCTGTTACTCTAAAGACCAGCTATGACATGCACCTCGTCATGTAAATGCGATGGCAATATTACACCAGTTTAATAAATCAGGAAATCCTGTGAATGCGAATGAATGATTTTAAACTGTATATGCAATTATTTATTAGTTAAATGTGATTTTCCCCTCCCAGTATGGGGCAGAATACTCCTTGTACAACCACAATAACAATCGAACCAGTAATTCCTCTGTTTATTTTAGATTGTGTGCTTTGAGATTATAAATGGGCAGATTCACTATCTAATAAATGATGAAACATTTTATTAGGATATTCACTAATGAGAGTGAAGTGGGGGGCGAGCATCCTTCACACTCTTGATCTGCTCAGTAATTAAGGCTTCCGCGAACCCGTTTAAACGTGCATGTGAGAGAACAGAAATTGGTGTTTTCAAGCAGTTACATCGCTTCCCCTCGCGCACCAGCTGTGCACAAATATCACAAGTATTGTAAGTCTCTCCGTAGCGGTCCTATCATTACCATCGTCAACAGATAGATGAAGCAGTGTTGCGTAACCCCCATCTGAAAAGGGCTTAACATAATGCACACATTTCGCAGAAAAAGTATTTGGGATAATATAAATGAATGGTATAAATAAAATAGAAGGTAATTGCAGGTTCCACTGGAAGTTTAAGCCTGGGGCCTTTTTATATGTCATGTGGAACCCATTGAAGAGCATTAAATTAAAAGCTCTAACACACTGATGTATTGGTGATAACCCTGCAAGCAAACAAAAGTAAAGGGGCTTAAGTTAGATTTGAAATGTGTTCCATCGGCTTTCTAAAATCATTTCTCCACCAGTCTAATCACATCATTTTAAACCCGTTACATTTCATAAAGGTTATGATTTGCACTTTTTTTTTTTTTATTTGTTTGAAAGTGTAACTGAATTGCTTGTGCCTCTTTCTGCTGTTTGCTGAGACTCAAATTAACAATGTTGTTAAGAACAACAGTGCATGTTTGAAGCGGGGCATTTGAGTTCAATGAGATTAGATTAGTTTGCGATATAATACCTTGAAGGCTGATCATGTCAAGGTGTGTGTGTGTGTGTGTGGGTGTGTGGGTGTGGGTGGGTGGGTGGGTGGTCAGTGTATGGTTTGAGGCTTGAAGTGTGGCGTATTTCCTGTTACTTACTCGACGTGAGTCAAACACTTTGCATGACTCCTATGCAAACCCCTCAGGAGTGTCAAACTTTACAGATATGTGTGTTGCTGATAGCTGGGCTCCCGTAGCGGAGATGACCGGCTGAACCCTTTTTGATTTGAATAAACCCCTGATATCGGCTCTGTGAGCGAAGATAACCAGTAAAGGCAATTCATGTATGGGATACCTACCCTAGGCTTGGCTGCGGGACAGTGGTTGTACTCGTGTTACTCTGCTGCAGTCAAACATATAAATGAGACCGAACAAAAGGTGTGATAATGAAAATAAACCACATGCAAAAGTCTTGTAGGCTCCCACAGTTTGACTTTTATTGTGGCCCTGAGGAGGTAGTTTGATAATGTTCTTTCAACCTGAATGGATAAAATGCGTAGATTGATGTGGATATAAAATCTCCATAAAACATTTTTTTTTTTTTTTTTATACTGATACCAATTTGTTCCACAAACTAGATTGTTTGGTGTGATATACTGAATATTGTAGATTATATATGCTACTTTGGTAGTTGTTAAGCTAGAAGAAGAATGAGTATAGTGACTGCTGGACAAGGTTTTATTTTCCGGTGTCACATACAGTGTAAATTTCCTAAGAAATGAACAGTTGACTGTTTGCTAAACCACGACCCTCCCTTAGTTACTGTTGCTACAGAGATTTATCTCTCAAAATTACAATAGTTTTTTAAACAATTGGTCCTTGATTTCATAGACTTATACAAAAGCATTTTTTTTTTTTTATTTATGTCAGTTTGAAAGGACCACTGTCCTTAGCTGCGTTTATCAGCTACTGTAAGTTGGCTGAAAATGTAGCAGGTAAAGATCTTGATATATATACTCCATGTTCCCCACGTTGGCATGCTGAGAAATCCAAAGCTTGACATAACTAGCATAGCTCTGTACTGCCTGCTAGTTATATTGCTAAGCTAAGACTGGAGAGTCACTGTTCGGGGGAGGGGTTAAGCAAACGGCCTGTTGCCTGACTGTAATCTTGTGCATGTTTAACTGAAGAAATATTTTGGTTTTGAGGTCAGATTCCACTTTTTTTAATTAGAAAATGTGTTAATATGTGAGCATATAACATTGTATCTGTGGCACTAGTTTCAGCTATTTTCATGCCCTGTATAAATGTGTTACCCAGAATAGTTTTTCAATAATTCTATCCTTGTTTGAATAGGTCTCCTCTGATGGGTGGGCCTAACTGTTAGCCTAAACTACAGCTGTTTTCTAAATGAATGTCTGTCTCAATCTGTTTCTTTTGCCAGGGACCTAAGAAGACAATAACAACGACCAAGAAGGAGTCCAAGGAGAAGAGAGAGATCATCGAGGAGAGCAAGGAGAACCTGAAGGCCAAGTCGGACGACTCCGGCGAGGAGAAGAACGGTGATGACGACTCCCAGAAGAACGGACCGAAGAAAAAAGGTTATTATGGATTGCATGCTAAAAAATTCTGAATACTAAACAGTCCACCTGAGAGAGGCCTTACTCTAAAATGGCCGCCATACAGAGGTTTTTTTTGATTAAGGCAACAAACATGGCTTTTCTAGTGAGCAATATAACCTCAACCAGACAGTATAGACTTGGCCTTGTTTAGTTTTTATGGACCATATTCTTCATTTATTACTTTTGTCCACAAATGTTTTGCCTCGTCAAGCATTTTATAGTTCTTCCTAAGTATTAGTTTAGATTTAGACTTTATTCACAGCCACTTTAATGTAGAAAAACAGAGGTATAAAAACAGCAATACACAGATAAAGAAAATAGAGTCCCCATAAATACAACCATACATCCCAGCACACAACATAGTCAGCAAAGTCTGTTCAAAAACTCCCCCATTTTAAGGTCCTGTATCTCCATCCAGATGGCAGTAATGTGAAGTGATGATTGACGGGGGGAGGGTGGATCAGTGTCATTTGCTATTGTGAGTGCTAAATGTGTGAGAGTTTGGGTGTGGGAGGGCAGATGATATTCGAGGCAGCATTTGTGACGCTGGTAAGTTTTGTTTTTGTTGGGGATCAGGAACATGGTGAAGAAACCGGGGGAACAAGATTGGTTGAATTAAAGCAACAGGATGTGCAACAGACAGTGCTCTGAGTGTATGGATAACACAGGTCCTTTATAAATAGAAATGTGTTGATCGAAACTGAATTTATTGTAACCGCCTGGACATCACACACAATTGTCTATAATGAGTCCAAGATGTTTAAAGTAGCTCAGTGTAGCGTGTTTGATTCGCTAGTGACAGCCGCAGTTAGTTTTCACTGCTTTTCTTTTTTTTTTTAACGTCTAGTCCAGATCTGCTGTGTCCGACTTAACCTGCAAAGGTGCTGTAGAAATGATGAGCTCTTCATGTCTCTTCTCTGACTAAACATCAATGAAGAGAACTTTCACAACTCTGATCTCAGCATTAAAGCAAAATTAGGTAGCTTAAGATATATTTAAACCCTAAATTGGTCACCTGACTACTTTTTAGAATTGGGATTTTAGTCTGTGTTTTATAAGTTTGAGGGGCTTCACAAACAGTCAACATTGTGGCTGTTGGACTGTTGTTTTTTGGTCGGCCATCTTGCCATTTGAGCCGTTCCACAAACTAATTTCCCACATTGCTGTTGTCAAAGATCTGTTACTGTATAAACGGTAGCACTTTTCTCCCTTTATTCGCTCCCTCCTTCCCTTACCTACTCAGTCAGCAGATGGACACATGGCCACGTCACTTAAAACTTGCTATCATCTCCTCTCTGCCACTGCATGTGGTGTCTGTCACACACTCACACACCGCACAGCACAGCACAGCACCCCTACAACCAGATGTTGTTTCAACAGCAGATCACTGATGCGCCCTGCTGGCCAGGAGAAGTACTGCAGGAGACTTGGTGCAGTTTCACCAATAGAAGTTGCACATTGACAACATTTAGTAGCTGAATGTGGTAAACGTTGGCTAACCACCCAGTATACAGAGGTGATGTTCTGTCGCACAAAATCCACTGGAAAAATGTTGGACATGTTACAGTAGCTGCAAAACCTCACCCACACAGCTGTGTGGTTAAGTTAAACTTACAATTTCTATCTTTTTTACATTTAATACACCGGGTATTTTCAGGTCATCAAGAAGTGTTAGAGTATCAATTTTAGAAATGGTCTTAAATTTAAGTTTTTAAAGTTGGTTACCAGAGGAGAAAAAAAGAAATCGGTGTCCCTTTCCTCAGCGTAACAAGTCAGTTTCATCCAGGATTTATCATTACCCCCTGTCTTTCTGTTGTCAAAACCTTTTAGTCATCTTTTCCATGGAGTGTAGATTGTAAATGGTGTCTGTAATCAGGTTTACCTGTAGGCATAAATACAATGTGTTTGGTAGCTCATGAGGCATATGAGATTGTTGCTAGGAAAAATGCTCAAAATATACAAAGTTGAATTGAATTTTAGGCAGAAAATAAAATAACATTTTGCTAAAAGTTCACCTTACCCTGCTAATGTTTCCAGTACAATTTGGTTTAGAAGGTTTATGATCAATAAAAGATTAAGGGATTCCTACAGACACATTTCAGAGTTCAAAGCTCTAAATGATTCAAATGAATAGGTTTTCTTTCTTAACTATGTTGCCTCTTCATGTCTTTACAAACAGGAAACAAGCAGAAGTGGGTTCCCCTGATGATCGAGGTGAAGTCCGAGGGTCCCAGAGAGCGCTCTGCCTCCAGGAACAACAGCAGACAGAACGAAAACCCCCGCCTGCCTCCCAACGCCAGGAACGACCTCAGAGGTCAGTCAGCGATGTCATCATCTGAAATTGGCATCACTGCGAGTGATGCAGCATTTGTTTAGGTTACTTAGCGTAGATGACGGTGTGAGTGTCGGCTGGAAGTGAGTTTAAAATCCCACCCAGCTGGTTTTACATGAAGCTTTAAATAAGTTATTAGTTTGTGCTGTTTGAGTCATGATAATACCTGACAGCAGGTTTTTTGTAGCTGATCTGTTGGTGCGCATTAGTTGAGACAGTGCGTGTGACTCAGCAGCAGGATGTGAAGAGATCTGTGTGTGCTCCTACTAATCTGCTACTTCTGCTTTTATAGTTTGTCTCTTTAAATGTTCACAGTGTACAGAACGTGGTTGCTTATATTCACAGAGGAAATGAAATAGTTTGCAGCTAAAAGGACATGACATCTGTTAGTGTGCAGAAGAGTACAAGTTAAACGTAACTTCCTTCTGATTAAAAACATTATTCATTCTGCTGGACTCTGCAGTTACTGAAAGTTCCCCTTGACTTTCACAACTATGATTGCACCAAACTGCATTTGAGATTTAATTTTGTTCTACTAGTCCAGCAGTGTTGACGTGTTTGTGCTGACGGGAAGGTTGTTGTCGGTTTCTCTGCAGATTGGCACAGTCAAAAGTACGAGCGGGAGTGGCGTGACGACCATGACGAGGTGTCCAGTGTGAAGAGCGAGGGAGCGCCGTTCCGCGGAGGATTTAGAGGTCGCGGACGTGGAAGAGGAAGAGGTCGGGGAAGAGGCAGAGGTGGCGCAAGAGGTTTGTGGACAGACGCATGGAAGCAAACGTGAAACACTATAAATATAAGTTCACCACCGGCTTTCTGTCCTCAAGATATGTTTAGGCCTTTCTTATGTGGTCATCAGACACTGTTTGTGTTTCCTGGAAAAATACTGGCACACAAAGACACTGGTGTGGATTTCACCACTGTGCTGCTTGTGTGTCACCGGAAACAGTTTTTAGTAACAGTTCAGTTACTTTCCAGTATAACAGATGTGCAAGAATGTGCCAGTGGGACGCTGATATTCAGACATTAACAATTCACAGTGACGCTCAGTATGTACAAACTGAAAGTCAGGGTAAGAAAGGTCATTTGGTTCAGTGTGCTGTGGATGTGTCAGTCAGTCGTGCTGCAGAAGTGATGAGCTCTTCATGTCTCTTCTCTGACTAAACATCAATGAGGAGAATTTTCACAACTCTGATCTCAGCATTGAAGCTCAAAAACAAAACACAAACACTGATGATATTACTATTAATGAGTAATCTTGTGTGACAGTGTGCTGATAAAAACACATTGCAATCTTTTAGGCGTTACACTTCCCAAACTAGGCATAGCGCGCTTGGTTGAGTAGCTAATCACACCAAAAATTGAATAGTTAAACAACAGAGCTCAGCAGTCACAACATAGGAAAGGGCTGTTGTAATTAAAGGAGATAACGGAACTATTCATGCTGTGGCCAGTCCCACCACAATCCAATAAAGCAGGCAACGATTACAGCCTTCCACACGGTCAGTTAGACCCTTCACCTGGAACAAGCTGTGAGGCAAAACAAACTGTACCATTTTGTCCACCCTTAACATATTTGTCACACTGGCTTTTTAGGGACAAAAGTCAGGTAAAAATAACTTGTGTTTTATGGGGAGCTCTGTGGTGCAACTGCTGCGTTTCTTTTCCTGGATTAAACAAACAAAATATAATGTGTTTATTAGTAACATTATAGAGGTGCTGTTGGTTATAAATAGACACAGCCAGGCTAGCTTCCAGTCTTTATGATAACCGTATGATTATTGACGGCTGTATTTAGTATACAGACATGAAAGTGGTATCAATCATTTCATCTCTGTAAAAAAATAACCTACTGCTTTAAATATTCATTATCTTTTTCTTGATACAAGCTAGAAATGTTTGACTTTGCTCGACAAAAAGCGATCTGACTTAACTCTAAATTTTTGTGCCATATGTAGTTTCGTTTGTGTTTGGGCTGGCTCTGCTCTCAGACTGGGTGGTTAGTGACCCTAAACCGGCCCCACAGAGGCTCCAGTGAAAACAAAAAAGTGCAATAACAGCCAGAGAGATCATGTTGGAATGAGGAAAGGCCTTGGATCCAGCAGGAGAAGCAGGTTTCCCTGAAGGCCTGTTGGTTTTGGCAGGATTCTCCCTCTTTCCTCCCTGTTGTTCGCTCTTTTCCTACACATTGTCTTCTCTTACCGTCTCCCCTCCTCTCACTTTCTCTCTCGGTTTGTTGCCTCCTCCTTCCTCACTCCCCTCCCCAGACTGAGATAGAGAAATCACTGGTACCTCTTTGAATTTCATAAGAGGGAAGAAAAGCGTGTGAGAAAACAAAGATTACAAACAACCCGGAGGAAGAAATAAGAGTTTAACGTCCGTCCCCGTCTCCTCAAGGACACGTTGTTGACTTTCAGGAGCACTGAAAAAAACGGTCAGAGTTAATGCTGAGCAGATGAACTTTGTCTTTGTGTATTTACTCAGCTCTTGCATGTGTGTGCTCCTACGTACTGGCACAAACACATTCTGTATTTGTCAGTGACTGCATTCACTCTTTAGGCTCTTTTTATTTAATTCTTAGATATTTTTCTTTCTTATTAATGCCTGGAGCAAAACAAGTACATGAGCTGACCTTTGTTTGTGATAGGTCTACAACTTGGATGTATATTTTAATATACACTTGTTTATATCCTACTAAAAAAACCAATTTGATAACAGTTTTATTTCTACTGTAACCTTTGATTCTTTCTCTGGCTCCTCTACTCTGTCACTCTCCCACATCCTACAACTTTTCCCCAAATTTGAATTCAAACAAGATGGTTGAATTAAAAGATTAATAAATCTGGGCAATATATTTACTTGCAACTTAACACTGTGTTCCTAAATTAGACCATATTTTGGTTAGATTTTGTTGACCATCAAATACTAACCAATAGTGTGACCAGCTGCAAACACTTTGGCTCAGCAGAGATTCATGAGTGAAGAAGTGCTATTAAAATAAATGCCCTAAACAACGCAGAAATATTCTGTGGAGTCAGAGTCTGGCATCTTCACTCAAATAGACAACATCCAGTGAAGCATGAAAGTTAAATATTTTAGATAAACTATATGCTTATTTCCATCTAACTGGCTGTTTCTGTCCTCTCAAGGCCACTATGACTACCACTATGGCTACAAGTCCTACGAAATGAAAGATGGACCCTACAGCCAGAAGTTTGGCAACACGGTGACCTACTACTACGACAACATGAGCAGCAACGACCTCTACTCTGTCGATCAGGACCTGCTGAAGGACTACATCAAGAGGCAGATGTAAGTGCAGCTCCTTCCTTCGAGATAAACACAGAACACAATAACAAATACAAGATTGGTTGCGGTCAGACACGCAGACGTGCTGCAGAAGTGATGAGCTCTTCATGTCTCTTCTCTGACTAAACATCAATGGAGAGAACTTTCACAACTCTGATCTCAGCATGGAAATGGAAAAATAATGAAAACTTAGTCACTGTTGCACGTTGTTTTGTCCCAACCACACTGCTGTAGAGACAGTACATTTGAACCTTCATTCAGATATTTGGTCTTGGTCTGGATACTAGTTTGAGTTAAATAAGATCTTCTTACCTGACTACAGTTCAGACTAAAAGCTTGCCTTCTGTTCAGGACACTGTTTAAAATTGAAGTTACAGAGGTATTTTTTCCTTGCCTCTAGTAGGCAGTAATGTTTTTCATAGTAGAGGTGTTAGTTGCCACGAACTATGGCGTTATATTTGTGCTTGCTCAGAGCGAGCAATGAGAGATCTTATATTATGTGAGCACAGAAATTTTATGCAAGCTAAAATAGATTTGTTTGAGCAACTACAGTAATAAGCCCTCTCACTCAGTTTCACTCATATAACCTCTCCCCTGCCTCTAGATAGGAGTTTTGCAGCCACTGTAGTTTCTCCTTCGTGCTTGGTTGGATCAAGGACTTATAGTTGGTTGCACTTTGCAATCTTACAGCTAGATGCCATTAAATTGTTCATGCTTGTCTTTTAATCTATTAAACACTGCAGAAACCCTGGGAGATGGTCAGTAGGCTCGCCTGTTTAGATTTGATCAATTTGGATTCTGCCAAACAGTCGACTGCCATAAACAATAAGAAGTTGTCTTCAAAGATTAAAAAAAAATTAAATTTTTTTTTTTTTTTTTGTTGCATGGAAGACAGGCCACAATTTGACTGATTCACCCTTAATAATAGTTCAGCTGGACTTGTTCACTTAACAGAATAAGCTGTGACCCCAGTGCTTTTATGATTAATCGGATGCTTAAATTAAAATTTTAAAATAAACGCAAATAACAATGTTAGAAATAAAATGATGCACCTCACCTAAATTCTGCCCCTTAACCTACAGGTTCAGTCAAGGTTTTGCAGATGAAGACATTGTGTGTTGTGATAGTAGTTTTTTGGCACCTGACTGAAAGAGCTTAACACTTTCCTTGTGTGCACCCAGTGCCCCCTTCAGTTTAAGTATGTATCAAGTTACTCAGAGACCTTAAAATCCTGTGAAATACTCTGTTTTTGATTAGTAGTTCCTTGGATGGTATCTGGTTACAAGTGACACACTTGAAAACCAAAGTCTGTTTCAAGTGTTTTTTACTAAATGTTTTCTATCTAGTCAATGCAGTCCTGTGTGGTCTCTACCTGTTTTCATTCCCTCTGCTCGTAATCTGACTGTGTGCTTCTCAGTTGTCTTAACTTTCTCTTCATTTCCCTCACTTATGTGAGGGAGAAGTGAGAAAACGGCAAGACTGCTGGATAATGCTGACAATGTGTTTCTCTGTTTCTCTGCCCCCTTCAGTGAGTACTACTTCAGCCTGGACAACCTGGAGCGTGACTTTTTCCTGCGGAGAAAGATGGATCAGGAAGGCTTCCTGCCTGTTGGACTCATTGCCAGTTTCCACAGAGTGCAGGCCCTCACCACCGACGTCAACCTCATTCTGGAAGTAAGTACACTTCTTTGACTCCCTGATTCGTCCTACAAAAGTGACCAGTGAAAATAGAGAACAAAAATCTGACGTGGTTAGCAGCAGTTAATTGAAATCAAGACAGGTAAGGAAACATCCACAAAAGGGCAGCTGGATAAGAAGGGTATCCTGACATAAAAACACTTCAGGAAACAAACAAGATGTAACGTGTTCATTAGTGAGCTTAAGAGGTTCTGGAAGGAGGATTTTGTTGCCATTGCAAAGAGCCAGGCTAGCTCCGTTCCCCTGTTTCCAGTCTTTATGCTAAGCTAAACTGAGAGTGATAATCAGTTTTATCATTCAAATAAGCATATTACCCTTTTTGGTTTTAATTATAGGGAATGTCTAATAACGCAAAAGAGAGACCTTAGGAGGAGGCAGATCCAGGAGCGGTCTGAAATAATAGGTCAATTAGCTAATAATCAGTTTTCAGAGCTCTTTGTGAAAGAAGATAAAAACACATTTAGTAAAGTGCAGCATGACTTTTTGTCAGTCACCAGAAATTGATTTCCCCTCATGGGCCCATGTAGCGCTGATAATGCAGGATGTTATCACCAAAACTGTCCAATAAATGAGTTACCTGTGTTTCTTTGTTGGTTTGTAAAAAGTCAGTGACGCCAGAACTAAAAGGCAACAATGGATAATTTGTGTTCTTTGTGTTTTTTAACCAAACTAGGTGTGAAAGTGATCTAAAGTTATTTACTACAAGCTTTTACTTGAGGTTTAGCACTCAAATAGAAAAAAACAGTATGGTGTTTTAAACATTTGACAGAATTTGTATTAATAATAATAATAATAATAATAATAATAATAAAAATCTTCACACCTAGTTGATCCTGTGAACACAAATACTTTATATATCACATGTCCATCCACATCAGTGAGGGCCTTAATGCAGAGATAGTACTATATTTCTGTTATTGCATGGACTAACTGACCCATCTTCTCTCCTGACAGGCCTTGAAGGACAGTAAGGAAGTGGAAGTGATCGACATGAAGATCCGTCGGAAGGTGGATCCAGAGAAGTGGCCTCTGCCGGGCCTGAGCATGCCCAACCAGACCCACACCGATTTCTCTCAGCTGATCAACTGCCCTGAGTTTGTCCCAAGACAGTTGACAGAGGAGCCCAGAGGTAAACTTTTCTCCATTCTACTGTAGTGATCAGCCTTATATTTGGTTGTAATCAAGTTAGAATAATTAGTGCTTTGCAGGCTGACCTGTCATGCATCATAATTTTGTGGTTTCAAATCTTCTTCAAATCACAAGAAAACAAAATCTTTGCTACAAGTAATCATACAAAATATTCTCCGATGCCCTCTGTGTCTGCTGCAGGGTCTCCCAGGGCCTCCACACCCGTAAAGCAAAAGACCAAGACTGAATCAGACATCTCCAACCTCAAGACGATGCCCAAGGGCCTCTCCGCCAGCCTCCCCGACCTGGACTCTGAGTCCTGGATTGAGGTCAAGAAGAGGCCCAGACCCTCCCCGGCCAGACCCAAGGTCAGCGCAGAGAAGGTAAAATTCACTCACTCATATGATCATTTGGTTTTACATGGACTATGATGTCTTCTTGCTGTACTCAGAGAAAAGTGGCTATAGATTATAATCTTAATTTCTATATATTACAGAATCAAAATACATTTTCCTACAATTTTCTTTATGATAAAACATGTGTTTGTGCCAGACAGTGCTGATAATTAGTCTATCAATTGTTAGGTTATCATAGAAAGTTACAGTTGTAAACTTTTGTTGGTCCTTTCCTTCATCCATTCATTTCTTTCCATACTCACCCTCCTCCTCCTCCTCCTCCTCCCCCCTTCCTATGGTCGCTGTTGGTTGGCGGATTCAGGCCCCCTCGTTGCAGCAGCAGAAGGAAAAGGATGACTTGGTTCGCTCCCCAGTGCCCCAGCCTGGCTCCTCGCCCTCCCCTGCTACCTCAGGAAATAAGGTGAGTTCTTTTTAGAGCTGCAACTAATGATTTTTTTCTCTTTTAGTTTGTTGATTATTTGTTTTCAGTAAGTCTAGTAACTGTTAGAAAAAAAACAAAATTTTAAAGAATTTAAAATGAAGGAGAGCAAATCCTCATTTGAGAAGCTGGAAACCAGAAAATATTTAGCTTCTTAATCCTTTCTGTGCAATTGCAAGTGATCAAACACAGTGATCGAAAGGTCAAAACATATAATCAACTTACTTCTAACTTATAATCAACTAACAACTTATTTTTCAGGACGGAGCGGAGCAGGACGAACCGGAGGAGCTCGACTTCATGTTCGATGAGGAGATGGAGCAGATGGACGGCCGCCGCAACACCTTCACCGACTGGTCGGACGAGGAAACGGACGGCGAGATTGATGACCATGACGTCAACAAGATCCTGATTGTGACTCAGACGCCGCCGTACCTGAGGAAGCACCCGGGAGGCGACCGCACGGGACACCACACATCGCGCGCCAAACTGACCAACGAGCTGGTCAAAGTGATCAACGATGGACTCTTCTACTATGAGCAGGACCTGTGGGACGACACGTACGAGCCAGAGTACGCCACCATCAAGGTGAGGTCATCTTTCATGGTCGACCTATGAATGGTCATTTATGGGCAAGGTGAGGGTGTGTTTGTTTCTACCATCACTGCTGAGAGTGAGGAGAGAGAGACTCCAGGTATAACTGTCTCTAAGCTCATAAATCTTCATAATGGAACAGTTGGTTTCTGTCAGAAAGACGATTAGAAGAAGTGGAAAAACTCCCTGCTGTTGTATTTTAAGGGTATAGTTTGGGCTTTTCTTGGTCACTTTAATGCTTTCTGATGAGCTGTGTTAAAGTGCCTCTTTGGTTATGGTTTTAAATGAATATTAAACATGGTTTTAGCCATAGTTCCAACAATAAGATCAAAAACCAACACTGGACTGACTTAGACCACCGTTTAGAAAAGACACTTCACCACTGCTGTGAGACTGTTGTCAACATCTGATCCAAAGGACGCTTGGCCTTCATGCAGCTTGATCTTAACCCATAAATAAGAATGAATGCACTAGTTCTGTTTGTAAATCTTTTTGTAATCCTACAGTCATCATTTGGTGGCAGTTTGGCTGACCCAGTCAGTCAAAAGCAAGACAAACGGCTGCCTACACTAATGTGATCAATGACAGATGTATGAATAAGAGATTTTTTTATTTTCATGTAATACCTTTTTAAAATGACACATGTTCCACAGCAAAACAAAATCATTGCCACAAACCACATACTGTGTGTAATTGCTCAATTGAAGAACAACATGGTTACGTATACAAAAGATTTTCTCTTAATTACCAGGCTTTGTCAAAATACCCAGACAGAACAAAAGTGTCCATTTCACATACAGTTTTCATAATTTCAAAAGAAAGCCGTCTCTTTCAGTTTATTGAATAAAAATACAAAGAACTACACAAAACAAAGTGTAATGCCTCAAAACCACATAGCAGGTTGGTTTAAACCAGTTTTGAACTGGACTAAGGTTGATTATTTAGGCTCCACAAATCCTTTAAATAAGTTTGTTTGTGCTGAAATTTTATTTTTTTAAATTTATTTCTGTTTTTAATCTTTAAAATAAACAGATACATTTCATTTTTTTGTTGCACAAAGCTGAAAAAAACATGTTTGTAAAAATGAAGACTCAATCAGAGTGGAGTTTGGTATCAAATAATACAACCTGTAGTGATACATAACTGAGGGCCGGCTCTTCTGACAGCTTCCACGTTACGTCATTGTCATATTGGAGGGGCTTCTGCCCAAGACCAGATGATGAGTAGATTTATTCCTCTTCAGTTAGAGCTGTTTCTGGACATCGAAACCCGACACAGAACAGAAAGTTTGTTTTGTTTTGTTTTTTGTTGTCATTGCTGCCCATTGTAGCATTGTTGAGCTCATTGTGGGACCTTCACGTGCTCGCCAGCACGCATCCAGCTGCGCGTAGAACAGAGGATGCTTGTTTATAAATAAACCCCACACACAAGGCCTCGGCCTGAGGGGTCGAGCTGACGGGCTGCAGGGGGAAAGACAAAGATGGACTCTCAAAGATCTGAGGATTCTTGGTGGAATGGAGGGGCAAGTGTGAGTCGCACATGATCATAATCTTGGTGAAATAGTTAAGCAGGGACTCGTACATTGTTGACTTTTTGTGTGTTAATAGTAAGATTTTATATTGAGCTGCTGTTGTAGGAGGAGGATCAGCAACTGTTTTGTTATTAGGAGGTCTTCACTGGTGGAAAATTCAGGGTGTATTGATGTAACGCAGCTGGTTGGTGTCAGACCAGTGAGAGACCTCAACATGAGGGTGAAAAGAGTGTTTTTGGCAGCCATGTTTTGCTGCTGCATCTCAGTCTCCAGATTTCTGCAGATAAGGTCTGTTGATGATTTACATGGTTACATTTTCCTTAATGTCGATGGTTATTTTTATAGTTGATGTGATTGAGTATATATATTTTGGTGAAGAGTTTGAGTTTTTTGAGTATGTAAATTAATCTCTCTTGTAATGATTTTGTTTACTGAGAGATTTGGTCAGTGAAATTCTGTAAAATTAATCTTTATGTAACATGTACTATGCTTCCTTTTTGGTACATTTCACCATGAGTGAAAATGTCATCAAACCGTTTTTATTCCTCCTTATCAATATATTTATTTTAATTATTTACCCAAAATAAACAACCTAGGGACAGATTCCTATCAGAGTTGTCGTCATGTTGACTCCTGTCTTTCTCCCTTTTACAGCAAGAGGTGGAGAACTTCAAGAAGGTCCACCTGATCAGCCGGGAACAGTTTGACTGCCTGACCCCTGAACCCCCTGTCGACCCCAACCAGGAAGTTCCCCCAGGCCCCCCACGCCCCCAGCAGAGTAAGGAAACGAAAACTCATAAAACTGACACAGCTTTACATACACTGACGAGTTGAATCCAAGTTAAAACTGTGATATCAATGAGTTATTTTTACTCTGAAGATGGTGATGAAGTAAAACACAATTGTTTCATAGAGCAGTGATACCCAAAATGGAGGTCTATACCCCTCCATAGGATGCAAAGATAAACTGTCATTGTGTTAAAGTGGAAACAACTGTGGCTTTCACTTTAGATCATCAATCATGTTTTATTTCAGGATTTGTGAAGCATATTGAGAAAATGTTTCGGTTGGAGTGTGAACAACTCTGGTCTTTTATACTCCTCTGCATCTAATCTCTTCCCTCGCATCCTCAGTCCCCACAGACGCATTGGCGAACAAACTCTTCGGTGCCCCCGAGCCCTCTTCAATAGCACGCTCGCTCCCTACTACCGTGCCTGACTCGCCCAACTACCGCAGTGCCCGGACGCCCCGCACGCCTCGCACACCTCACCGGAAGGACCAGACAATGACGCCACGCTTCTACCCTGTGGTGAAGGAAAGTCGGCCTGTAGATGCCAAGGTAAGATGTCTACAGGGTGATTTTAAGGTTTTAGGGGGATAAAATCCACAATCACTAAACATTTGTAGCTGGATATTTACCCTCTAAACTTGTTCATTTCCTCCGTAACCCTTCAGACGCCCAGGAAGAGGAAGACCCGACACAGCTCCAACCCGCCCATGGAGTGTCACGTCGGCTGGGTGATGGACTCCAGAGAGCATCGCTCCCGTACTGCGTCTGTCAGGTGAGACTCACTGCTCTGCACTCTTCCTTCGAATAGTATCGCTTATGATTTGTTTAACAACTCCTCTAATATTTCACAGATGCTCTTATTTGTTAATTTTAACTGGCATTAATGAACCATAAAAAGTACATATTTATTAAACTTGCTGCCAGATTCTTTCAGATTGTGAATCTCTCATTATATGTAAAAACTGACAAATCTTTCCTCTTTCAATATACTTATTAAGCTTAAGCTTATGCCCAATGTACAAAAATAAGTGCTTTTTAAAAATGTGATCTGTGAATTATAGAAAGAAAAACATCACCTGAGACTCAGGACTTCAACGCTGAAGTATTTCTAAATATATGATGTGGTTGTTCTCACTCTCCATTTCCACCTTTCTCTCTCTCAGCTCTAACGCCAGCCCATCAGAGGGCACCCCTGTCCTGGGTAACATTGGCTGCACACCTCAGTCTCTCCCCAAGTTCCAGCACCCATCACACGAGCTGCTCAAGGAGAACGGCTTCACGCAACATGTTTATCACAAGTACCGCCGGCGCTGCCTAAATGGTAAACGCATGTTTTTTTCTTTCTCTTCCGCTTTATTTTATTTTTTTTTCGGTCTTCAAATATCAGTAAACTCTGCAGAATCACCTCTAACGATGAAGCGATGCTGGATGTCTGGATTAGATTTTATCTTGTAGTCTTAAGTAACCCTGTCCACTTTGTCTCCCTTCTCGACCAATCACAGAGCGAAAGCGGCTGGGAATCGGCCAATCACAGGAGATGAACACGCTCTTCCGCTTCTGGTCGTTCTTCCTGCGAGATCACTTCAACAGGAAGATGTACGAAGAGTTCAGACAGCTGGTGGTCGAGGATGGAAAAGAAGGATACAGGTAAGAGCCTCGACCAGTGATATCAGTTGCATATACGGGCATATATTGGTTTGTTTGTTTGGTTTCTAAGCCGTGTTTTTCTGTGTTTGTGTGTTGCAGGTACGGTTTGGAGTGCCTGTTCAGGTACTACAGCTACGGTCTAGAAAGGAAGTTCAGGCCAGACATCTTTAAGGACTTCCAGGAGGAGACCACGAAAGACTACGAGGCTGGTGAGAAATCCTGACAAAAACATTGTTGACAGAACAGAAGAGACAACACAAACACCATCTCAGCTGGGGGGCACCATTTTCAGACTCGCCTAATCCACCTGGACTAACTTGCATTTTTGTCTGTCTCCTGTGCTCAGGCCAGCTTTATGGACTGGAGAAGTTCTGGGCCTTCCTTAAATACTCTAAAGCCAAGACCTTGGAGATCGACCCCAAGCTGCAGGAGTACCTGAGCAAGTTTAAACGTCTGGAAGATTTCAGAATTGATGTAAGTGAGGAGCGTATGCCGCATCGCACAAAAAGCCCACAACTGCTTCAATGTCGTCTGTTAGCTTTAGCAGTTTAGCAGTGCTGATATAAATTCAGTCAACAACAACAATTTCAGAACAAAAGTGACTACTTCTTTTTTTATTTTATGTATGCAGGAGGTTGAAGCTTCTTCCATGCACTTCACAAAAAGATATGATAGTCTACAACACGTCTGACACGTATTTGATTGCTAAGATCATGAGAGTTTTGAAAACGGGTCTCAAAACATTTTGACAAGAGATGAATGTTAGTCACGGTGCTTACAAGCACTTATAGAAATATGTATTCTTAGGTAGGTTTCTCCTGGAGAACACTGATTTCACTGCCACCTGTACTGGTAACCGCTTCTGCAAGACAGAAGACTTTAATTTAAAATCTGATTACTTACGTAACCTGTGTTCTCTGAGTAACCTGGTTACTGAAGCACACTGATTGTGCTTCCTAAAAGTTGTTGTGCTTTGAAAACGTCCCACCATCTAATCTCCACCCTGGTTATTTCTGGTTCCAGCCACCTATGGAAGAAGGACGCCGCAGAAGACACTCGTCCAGCGGGGACGGTCGCCGCCGGCACCCCTCTCTCCCCTCCAGCCGGCCCCACAGCCAGGCCAGCTCAGGCCCCAGCCCCGCCCCCACCGCCCAGGGCCTCGCAGCCATGGATGATGCCAAACCCACCAGCCAGAAAGCCCCCGTTGCTGACCCTGCACCAGATGCCAAGACACTGAAGTAACTCCACGAACACGCCGGCCAACATGGATCAACTCAACCACGTCTGCAAATCGCTGGTTCTCTCTGCGCCACAGGAGGGGGGAGGGGGGCGTCTAGCTCTTCATTCAAGCATGAGAATACTTTTTTTTTTTTTTTTTTACCTGCGACAGTTTTTGAGAAATAAGGAAAATTAATATGGTTTATTAATTAGTTTTATGTTTTTGAGGAAAAAAAGAACCTTTTTGTCTTAATGAGGCAAGGAATGGATGAGGTGTCAAACACTTTTTTTTTTTTCTTTTGCATATCATTGCCAGTCCACACGGTGGATGGTGTAGTGCTGATTTCCTGATTTCTTTTTTTTTTTTTTTTTTTTACCTTTTTCATGTTGACCCCCCCTCTCTGTCACTGGGACCCCTCTTTGATCGTCACTGTCCTGCAGGCTGAAAGATATTTGATTCTTCGCCCAGATCTCAGATTTATGATTATTATTTCTTCGGCATGTGGTGAGATTGGAGACTTCGAAAAAGTTCGAACAACACTGAGCATCTGAAAGCCCCGCTAGAGGAGGCCGTGCTGCTTCTGACATCCAACCGGACCAAAGTGGTTTGAACTGAGCGACTGACATTTCCATCCGCAGAGCCCCAGTGCTCTCAGTTGAGGGGCTGAAATTTATTTGATTTACTTTATGGCTGGACATTGAGGGGAAAATATAAAAAGAACCAAATGATAAAAATAGAGGAGAAAAAAAAAAAGACTTGTACCAACCCCTCAGTGTGGACACGATCATTGAAAGTTGCCTTATTTTAATGGTTTTACTGCTTCTAACTTGTGCCCACCACCTTATTGTCGATTGTACAGCATTGAAATCACCCATATATCCGGTCACTATGTCCAGCAGAGGCCACTAGGTGGCGCTCTGTCTGCCAAACTGTTCTCCATCCACACCCCTCCCCCTCCGTCACCTTTTCCCAACTGTCTTCCAAGTGTCACTCAGTCTGTTACAAGTCCTGTAATTCTTCCCTGTGTTTGCAAGTCGTGGCTTTTTGTGCTGAAACACGTCAACCCGGTGGAGGTTGGTCGCCTCCCCACCCCCCCCTCCCCCCAACAAAAAAACAAAACAGAACAAACAAAACACTTCAGTGAGGTGGAGAGTTGGGAAGGGAGAGTCCCCGATGATCTCCCCTTGGGTGCTTCCTGACTTTCTCTCTCCGCCTGCGCTTCCCCCCCCCCTCCCTGTCAGACGAGCTGCATCCATCCGTTCATCCATCCGTTCGACATCCATCCATCAGTTGACGATAGTGACGATCAGGACTGGAATCATCAAAATCTGGATTACTTGAAGAAGCGATGGTTATGAGGAGGGCCGTCGTGCTCTGTCGCAGGTGCTCTGGGTGGAGACGCTGACGAGGCTCAGACATTTGGCCTCTGACTTCACCGCTAAACTGAAGTTTGCTCTCCCGAGGCTGAACGGGCCTCTGGCGCTCGCCACCTCTTCCCGTTTCACACACACACACACACACACACACACACACACACACACACACACACACACACACACACCAGTTACAGGCATGAACACTGACGCAGGTACAGATGTAGCAGCGTGAGCAAGCTGAATACTAAATACACACACGCACGCACACAGCTCGATGTCTTGCCTTGCTGTGGAGAAAAATTCAAGACTGGATTGCTCGTTCACACACTGTTCTGTTCAGTTATCACACTTCCTACAGTCAACTGTGGATGATTCAATCTTTATCCAACTCGAGTACTGATGACATCAGATAGAAGAGTGATTCTTTTTTCTTCCACTAATGTAAATGTGAATTTGACAGATGAAGAGAAATGATTACAGCTCCCTGCTACTTGTTTTTGTTTATAGAACAGATTATATATTTGCCTTACACATGTATGTACTCTTTAACTTTTTTTTTTTTTAATGGTCTCATGATTATCTTTTAATGCTTTTTAATTTCAATTTGCAGTGTTTCTAGCGTTGTTGTTATGATGGAGGTGGATGGAGGTTTGTGTCAGGCTGGTAAAAACATCTGTGGATTTCAGAAACGGGAACATAATTCACAACACAAAAGGGAAAGTTGACATCAGGGCGTCAACAGGTATTGAGCGCAAAAACACAATCTGTTAAGCTTATAATATTTCATGTTGAAATCACAGTTAATTTGTTCTTTTTTTTCTTTTAGTAAGGTTTTTGCCAAGATGACAGAGTAACATTTGACTCAAACTAACTGTTAAATCTTCAGCCTCCAGGTTTTCTATAAACACTGTCTAAAAAATGCATAGAAATGATTTGATTTTGGGGTTCGGATTGAAGAAGTAGTTCCTAAAATTCTGTAAAAAAAAAAAAAAAAAAAAAAGAAATCTTGAGTCTTAATACATGTGGATGTCCAGCTGTTTAGTGAAATGACCCAGTTTCCGTTGACATACTGCAACGTTTTTGCTCCCGAGTGATGAGTCAAACCGCACAGTCACATGAGTAAAACAAGTTTAAATACATTTGAGGAATTTAAGAGTTTCGGACGAGGCCTGACAATACTTAGATGAAACTGTTTTGGACACCTGTGTTTGTTTCTTTTTTAACTTTTGGTCCTTTTCCGTGATAACCCTTCAGCTTGTTGGTTGATGTTCCAGAAGATTGGAGGTGGATTTCACATTGTCCTCTCAGTGTTTCAGTTCTTCAGTTTCTTCCTCTAAAATCCACATTTGTTGGAAACATGAAAATGAAAAAGCAAAGCTGTACTTTTTTTTTTTTTTTTTTTTTTTTGGTTTATCTTCAGGGAGATTTGGATCAGTTTCAGAGGCTTACAGTTGATGCATCAAAGTGTTTACTGGAGGTTTAAAGACAGGAAAAATAAGAGCTATTCAGAAAAGAAAAACTCCCGCATTTTCCCCAAACCAGCGGAGCCTTTGAATGGGTGAGTTGGTGTGTGTGGCTGCAGACATGGCAGACTGCCACTGGGGGGGGCGCGCCTTCTTCCCGGGACAGTCACATGATCCCTCTCTCTAATGTGATCATCACCTGCCATCACCTGTCACCAGACATTTGGGGGGGTGGGGGGTGGGGGTTCAGGTGTTTTGGGAGTTTTCAGCCTTCTCTTATCAGCATAGGACTGCTGCTAGGTGTCCAAACAAACTGTAGGGGGGGCCGCATCCCCCGCTTGTCAGTTTTACAAGGACTTGGCCAAATGGCCGGACACTGGAGAGATGAGTGATGGACGTGGAAATGGAGGGAGGAGCAGAAAAGGAGAAAAGAAAGAGCCCGGTTAGGGTTTGTGATGTCGCTTAGAGGATTATGGCTGGTTATGATGTCTGGAGACTGAAAAAAAAAAAAGGACAAAATTCCATAAAGCCATATGAATAAGATATAACTGTATATGAACCATTAAAATAGTTCATTACATTACAATATCCTAGGCTTGTCATGAGGAAAAAAAGATGAAAACAAGGAAAAAAGGAACAAAAAAAATATATAAAATGGAAAAATGTAAAATACTTGAATGAGATCTTGTATTATAACATTTAATATTCATAATATCTGCTTTGTAGGCTGATGTGATTCGCTATTAGTGTTATTTGTAATTTGTAGTAATTATGCTTTTCCTTAATAAAGAAAAAAAAACACAAAACGGACAAAAAAACCTCAAACGCAGACTTCTGAGTGATTATTCAGTGTGAGAGAGAGTGAGAGAATGAATGAATGAATGCAACCAGTCAGATCTCTATTGTATTTAGCTTTATGTCAAGATGATATTGGTATGTATGTAGCAGTTTCAGTAGAGTTTAGTTTAGTTTTGAAGGGGTTGATTTTTTTAATTTTGTATTCTGATGCCAAAGAGTAGAAAAAATTATACACATCTTTTCTTAAAATGTTTTTAATATTACAGTCCAGTAGAAACATTAACATTGTATCAATCACAGTAGGAAATCTCTTTCAACATTAATTTATTGTACAAACGTTTCTGAGGCCTCCCTGTAATACAGACACATTTAACATTCAAGAATATGATTTAAGTGCCATGGAAATGAAAAGTGCAACTGTATCGTCTGTCTGAGCAGCAAGTGAACGCAGCACAAGAGTCTGGACTGTTGCTCTTATTAAACATGACTTGAAATATAAAATGTGTTTATAAGAATTACAACAATAGCTCTAGATTAAACTGAATCTACTAACATTAAAGCCGAGATTCAGTAAAGAAAAGTGTCCTTTTAGAGGCCCAGAGATCCAAATACAATCATTTTCAAGTGTGAGGAATCTGGGGGATGATCAACATCACCACCATGAAGTTGAATTTACATCCAAACCAGAATCTGTTCATATTGAAATTACTTGCTCTACCTCTCTTCTGTTATTCAGGACTGTTGGGAGCTGTGAACGCAGCATGAATTTACTTCTCTCACATCCATTTTAACTATGTGCTTCACACTGAGTATAAGAACTGTGGTGGGTTTTAATATGTGTGAAAACAGCCCTGAAACACAAGTTTGGACCCTCGTATTTGTAAAGCTGAGGAAAGACAACAGCAGACGGTTAAATATGTCTCCTTTCACCTGAGAAGGGAAGTCATGGCGAGGTGCAGTAAAGTCTCATCATGGTTAGAAATTATTTATTTTCACCCTCATCAATCACTATATTCTTAAATCTACCTCAGCAGGAATATGTCCGATACACAAGCTAGTTGTGTAAGATGATCCCATCCCATAAGTCTGACTTACAGTCAGTATTTATATTTTAAAATCAAGCACCTGGCATAAACTTTCCTAAGATATTACCAGACAATAACCCCGAACTACTGACTGCTCCGTACATTACCATCCATGAACCACATTATTAACTACAATAACAGCCTTCCTAGTTCACAGGAAGTTGATATCATGGAAAAAAACAGGTTAAAAATAATCACAGTGACAGGCGTCTCCACGGCGACAGTGAACATGGAGGCCAAACTTAATGAAATGTGCATGTCGGATAAAGTGCAACAACATTTCTAATTGGAAAAATAAAAGATGTTCACTGTCTGAAACTGATCAACAGGTTTTCTTCTAGAATAATCAAAATCTGAAAGCCATTTAAGATTGATTGGGAACTGATCCCAAACTTGGCGAGGGCCAGGGCCTGAGATTGAAGGTCAGGGCTCAGGCGTTCATCAATGGCCTTTCTTGGGCTCGTCGGGGATGCTCTCGTTCAGAGGGGTGAGGCTGGTGAGCAGGGTGTGGCGCTCGTACTGCTTGGTCTGCCTGAATTTGGTGTCGGTGCCGTGGAGCCGATCCAACACACCGAAGACCCCGAAACACTGGTTGAACCTGGAACCAGGAAGGATGTGTGAGTACAGCCGTTTCCATTATCCACACACAAGAATCTAACTAGCAAGGAAAACTATATAATTATAATTAAAAATCTACCTGTATTCTCTTTGTGGTCCATTTTCTAATTTACAGCCATTAAATAACTAAAAAATGAGTCGTAATTTGACGGAAATAATACCCTTAAAAGGAAAGAGATATTCTGTATTTTTCCTTACTGTCAACAAATCTCATGAAATGACAAAAATCAACAATGAATTGATCCTATTAACAAGTATTGTCTGTATATCCAAAGCCTTTCAACTGAAACTAAATACTAGTACACCAAACGTATAGCTGAAAACAGTCCCCAACAAATGTAAAAGTATTTTCTCCAGTTTGAGTAAAGGAGAAATTGTTTAACTACTAACAGGTTTTTTAATCTCATTTTAACTGATAAATTCCTGAATTTTTAAAACATAAAAAACAAACAAACTACGTTCAAAATATGGATAAAAAACTAAAAAAAAACATTAAATCCCATTAAAAGTAGTCTCAGAAGAGTGGACAGGTGGACTCACTTGAGGTGGTGGAAGTCGTGGAACTCGGGAGACGGCAGGAAGGGGAGGTGGTATCCGCAGTGGGAGATGGTGGTGCTGACCAGAGCCAGGCAGTACCAGAGGGTGGTGGTGGTCAGGTGGGAGCCCAGGAGCACCGGTCCGACTGCCACCGGCAGCATGTTGGAGAGCTAATGGCAAAGAGGAAGAACAAACCTGGTTTTAATGACCAAGAAATAGCTAGAAAATTCATTCATTCATTCATTCATTCATTCATTCATTCGGATTCACGAACAAATACAACAACGTTCACACACACACACACACACACACACACACACACACACACACACACACACACACACACACACACACACACACACACACACACAAAGTCCCTAACCTCGTACCCACTCTACAGCAAAAATAACAACAAGCTCATTATTTTCCACCCAATTAGACACACATTCAAGTTCAATTTGCAGAATTACATTTAGTTCATCTATAAAATAAGCAGACTTATATAATGTTGAGTCATCAGCGTACATCGTCAAAACTGCACTATTCAAAACAAAAGGGGAAAACTAAGAAGTGGAAAGGACCGAGGCCACTTCCTTTGGGAACCCTACATTCAGAATTTCTTGTGGTTGAAAAACCACCGTACAAAGTAAACACACTGCATTCTGCACTGAATCCGTATACCCAAGTGTTGAACGGGTCAAACTGTGAATATACAGTAAGGCTTGAATGCATCACACTTTCAACATCTGGTTCAAGTTTTAGATGAGCAGTGAATTCTGATTATTTTTAGGATCAGGTTTTTTCAGATTCCAGATGTAAGTTGGATTTATTTTTGACAGCTGCAGCTGGTTTGTGTCTCAATGACTCAACAATCAGAGACTTGCAGACTCCCCCTGCAGACTCTACATAATCCTCCGCACTGGATTGTGGATCAGAGGTATAATTTCTCTTTAAATCATTTCGTGTATTCTCACACTGACAGTGAAAGATCGACCACAACGCGCAGCTCTAGAGAGGTCAACAACCTGACTGAGACTGATAGAAATGAAGTGAAACGAGGGGAGGGGGATCACTCACCATATGCTCCAGGGGATGAGCGTAGATGGAGACGACCCCGATGGGAGCGGTCCATTCATGGTGCTGTTTGTGGAAATGCTTGTAGAGGCTGGGATGATGGAACAGCCTGAGAGACAAGAAGATCAAAATAAATTGTTTTGACTGATTATTATTATTTTATCTTGTTGTATATCTTATGTTTTAGATCTTCTTTACTTTTATTATTTGTTTTTATTGTAAAGCACATTGTAATATAAATATAATATATGATTTTATTTATAATATAAATAGTACATATAAATAAAATCATTATTATTACCATCTTAGATCTTACTTTAGCATGTTAGCATGGTGATGATTGCTTTTACTTGGTCACTTTCATTATTTATTACTTTTTGTATTTATTTTCTAAACCTGATAAAAAAAAAAGTAAAAGTAAATATATCTTAAATTTTATTTATATTCACACTCTTCACTCTTACCACCAGGTGGCAGTAATGTCCCAGTGTCCCAATGATAACTGAATCTCAAATGGAGGAAGGAACAGTGCTCTACTGCTTGTTATTAAAGCTGCATTTCTTGTATAAATATATACAAATTAAGTGTATTATTATGAGTATTAGTATTAGTTTTAATGTGTAGGAAATAGGTTCTGAATCTTTGCACTGACTGGAATCATGTTAATGGGATATATTCTGACGTGTCGCAGGTGTAAATAGTAAAAGAAATGACTGATCCAAACCTGTGTGAATAGTAAAACATCACTTCCTCCACAAGGGCAAAGAAAGCGAGCTCCATCAGGGCCCAATGGAAGGTGGGCAGCTCGGGGCCGCAGGGGTTCCCTCTCAAGCTCATCAGTTGGTAAGCTACCACCACCATGGGCCCAGAGATGAACACTTGGTTGAAGATGACATATTTCACTGCATGGCGAACCTTAGCTGGATCCACCTGGATGACAAAGCATAGAGACACATGTATTTAATTTACATAATATTATATTACATTCGCTTGGCAGACATTTTTCATGTGGAGTCTTACAGTAAGTGCATTCAAAGCTAGCAGAGCTAACATGGGGTGTTGTGTATAGATGAAGACTGAAGCATTAACATCTCGAGTTTAAAGGCCCTTTTCAAACCCTGCTCTTTATGGGTTTTACTGCAGGTGATTTCTTACATTCTCTCTTTAATCTTAATTTTCTACAACCTGTATTCTATCATCTTCTTTATATTTTGACACATTTATAATTCGGATTTGATACATTTATCCATGTAAACAGTTATCTGTAAATCCGTAAAATATTACAATTAATAAGTAATTTAAACACAATATGAGTTTTAATAGTTCTGCACATGTATTGATGACTACAACTGATGTCTACCAGGTATTTTAATATAAGATATAACAGGAAAAAGATGTTTTAAGTCAGAATGAGTACTGGAACTCAAAGTGTTAAGTTTCTCAATGATCACCTTCACTAAAATGCAGAGAATAGATAATATCTACTGTGTGTATCTCCAGTTTGTGTGTTTACTTTGAACCCTGGTTATGGACATTATCATGATGAGCTTTTGTGTGTGAGTGTCTAAAGTGTACGCAAATTAACTTTTGCACAGTTACAGTACTGTTTCCTAATTACACATTTACCAAAGTACAGACGCAACAGCACAGCACACAATAGACATTTTGACTGGTCATACCAGAAAAAGCACATTCTCAAACTAATGTTGTATGTCTCATTCTGCAAAATATTTTGGACACGGACTTATTTGCTGTACTGACTCCTCTGTTTGCCCAGAGTTACTGGATTCTTGGAAAAGCACAGGTGTTACTAATAACATCCCCAATGGCTCTTTACTATTTAAGTGTCCCAGTAAGTGTTGACAGTGTGACAGTGAGCAAACAATTATAGAGGACCCTGAGACTGAAGCAGTTGAATGGAATTCAGCCATCACTGAATTACACCTGTGCTTACTGTGGGTGTGACTGTGTCAAAATGTCTTTTCTATTCTATTCTTTTCTATTATATTTCTATTTTTAGAGTTGTTTTTCTTGTACTAAACACACACACAGAGAATGAAGGCAGTGAGACACTGTGCGTGTCTCAACTCGTCCATAGTGATTTAACCCCTCATTGTGAGTTGTCAGCTTATAATTTTCTTACTCCAAAAAAAAGAAAAAAGGCCATCTGAAGACCTGCCAAGGTTCTGACACGCGATCCAAATCATTGCACGTAAGATATATAGATAGTTTGCTTGAGAGACACCCTGTGAGACCCTGTGTTGTATTGCAGGTTGTATTGTTGCTTCACATCTGCACGTCCTGGCTTTGTTTATGACCGCTCAGAGGGTTATTCTCGGTCACAGAGCTTCAGTATCTCGGCGACCATGATTACTCAGCAGATTGTCATAGATTAGCTCATCCGAGGTAATATATTATGACTGACATTAGCAAAATAGCAATTTTATTAAAAATGTATGTCACCCAATATATGTAATGTACATATAATAATGATGTTTATTTATATAGCAAGGTTGCAAGTATTGGGTGTGGCAAACAAGATCATTTCCATTTTGTCCTCATCAAGTTGAGTTTTGCATTCAGTCCAGCATGTGCTATCATAAAAGGCAAGCGGAAAGTTGGGTTAGGCTGTTATGATTGGTGGATTGTAACAATGGTAGTGAAAATTTGATTTAGTGATAACCAGACCCAATGACAGCATATGAATGGAGAACAGTAACGGGCCCAGGACTGGCCCTTGGGGAACACCGAGGGCGAAAGAGTAAACAATGGGGGGGGATTTCTAAAAACAACAGCAACAGCAAAACAGATAGGAGCAGAATACGTTGAGAGCAGACTTTTATAGACCAACTCAAGTTTGAAGACGCTATAGACGGATGGAGTAGTCAACTGTGCACTCTAGTCTAGCAGGAACAGAATTAAGCTTTCAGTTTTTGTCTGCAGTACTAAACCACTGACTGTGTATTGTGTGAGTGTGAGGAGAGTTTCATCTGAACATGATGTCTGCAAGAAGTATGGATTATGGATATAAAGATAAGTTTTATTCCATCAGTGAATAAGCTTCCTGTGCCCGTGTCCTGTCATAATCTCAGGTAATCAATAATTTGATGGCATTTAGAGAGTAACCTTCCAGCCCTGGTTATCAGTAATGTCAGTGTTTATCTCTCCAGCGTCCATCAACGTCTGTTAATCAAACACAGTGAGAGGACTTTGGCCAGACGGACAGGTGGACGCATCAGATCAGAAACACCAAGGGTCATTTACACCAATCAGCCGTGACATTATGAGCACTGACAGGTGAAGTGAATAACACTGATTATCTGGTTATCATGGTTCCCGTCAGTGGGTGGTATATATTAGGCAGCAAGTGAACATTTTGTCTATTATGGCAGATAAATGCATTCATAAAGGATTTCTCAAAACTTATGATAATTTAAGACCAAAGCATATTTATAACTATTATTTATTAGGGCCCAAATTGACACAGGGAATAATTATACAAATAAATTAGGTAATAAAATATAAAGAAAACAATAAATTATTATTTAATAAAATTATTTATTTAATGCCCATTCATGCATTTATTTATTTCATTTTGGCAATTTTTTTGATTGATTCATTTATTTTAAATGTATCATGCCATTTTTCTTAATTTCTATATATAATAATAATTACTTTGATGCCAGTGATGTGACCATCACTGTATTTTCCAGTAATGTCTAAAAGATCGTTCTCTATTAAAAGATTTATCAACCAATCGATGAAGCTAATCTCAATGTTACGGGACAAATTTATATAAATGTATTCATTAACTGATGCTCAGTTTAACAAAGCAGGTAGGATTGGATGCATTTATTAGATGAACTGAGGTTTAAAGGGGCCATAAAATGATCAATAGAAGCAGTTCACTTAGTAACAATATAGGAGGAGTTAGAGGTTGAATTGGTGTTGGTATCTCATTGGTATCAAATGTAAGACTCGAGGTAGTAGTAACAGTAGTAGAGGCATTAGTGGTAGAACAGTGGTACTAGTGGTGGTATTAATAGGAAATTCATTTGCAGATACTAATCTGGGGATAAGAAAGAAATAACTGAAACTTAAACTCCTCATGAAGTGATACCAGAGGAGATACTGTAGCACATTTAATACAGGACATACCGGGTTATTCCTGTCCACCTGGATGCGGTAGCGAGTGATGAAGGAGGGTTTACCAGTAGTGTCCACCAACAGCAGCAGAGCATTCGTCGCCCAGAACGACAGAGTCGGGAAAAACATTGTCCCTGTTGAGAAAAACAAGGTCATAGTCAGAGAGGGACAACATGACAGCCTCTGATGTGAGCCTGAATATTTCAGTGAAGGCCAAAACCAATCTTGAAAATGAACCAGAGCTTGAGCTAAAGTCAGGTAACAATTTGTCCTGATAAATGCTGCAAACCACCTTCTGATATTTCTGAGGCCCGGCATTCTGCGTTAACTTTTGAAGCTAACTATAAGACCAAGACGAATTGTGAGCAATCTGAGGTAATTAACATTATGACAGATATCAAACAGGATTGCTCCATGTGAAGTGATTTTTATTTTTTTTTTTAAATGGCACAGTGTATGACTTTCTCTGAGCTTTATTGATTCACCTTAATGCACCACACGTAACCACTTTGGAAAAATGCCTGCAAGCACATAACGTCCTACATAGATAATATCTGACTGAGGATACCTTACAATGTGCAAAACAGACGGGCCAGTTCATGACACAACAACAACATGATGGCTGAATCATAAAAGAGTGTAAGTCGACACCAGAGCTCATGACTTGATATGCAAAAACAACTGCTCTCAAGGCTACGCAAATATAGTATTTCCTCTGTGGCTGTTACTAAGAAAAGTTTTCTTTCGTGCCACCCATTATTCTGAAAACAAAGCCTTGTTTGTGTCTCAGGGGAGATGAAATCATGTGTGTAATTTAATTTAACACTACATTAGTAAATATGTCATACTACTACTGTGAAAAGTCATCCTAGCTGTGAAAAGCCAGATTCTAAAATGTTAGAAGAGGAAGAAGTGTTTCAAAACAACACAAAGTGTATAATGACACAACGCAGGACATTCAAGCCCGCTATCAAGAAGGACACAGATCGTTGTGTTCAATTTGGCCCGACAACGTGCCGCTCTGTTACGAACTGTCAATAGCAGCCTGTTGGTTGCAACATTTAACTCCACAGAACAGCTTTTTGGACAAGAAACAAAACTAACCAGTTGTTATTCCTTACCGAAGTAGAACAAAGAAGCTTCATGACCCTCAAAATTCAAGTACAGCTTGGTCCACAAGTTCTGCCAGAAATCTCCTGAAGCTCCCCAGAATCTCTGCAGGTGCCTGGAGGAGGAATCGTCAATAATTGATTATTATTATTGCGCTTTTTTTTGCTGGAGAACTCAGCCCACTCTCCAACAGACTCTCAGGCTCTGTCACCTACAATACACAATACAATAATTTTGGGAGGGTTCGGAGCTGCCTAGCAACCACCTAATAATGCCATACTAAGCTTGACACGCCCGCCTTGTCAATACCCGTCCACAACAAAACGCCCGGACAACAATAGGATCTACCTAAATAAACCTAGTGACACCTTAGATACTTCCCATCACGTCATGCATGTCCATTGTCCTGTAATAATCCTTTCCAATCTGAACCCACAACATTTTGAGACCTGATCTAAACCAGATCCGAGCACCCTGTCAATATATACCCACAGATAATTAGACCTGATTCAAAATGCATTCGACCCGGACAGATCCTAAAACAGAGGGAGAACGCAGGCAGTAGCAGGATTCATTTTCAACTGCTTGTTAATTGATAGTGCATTTTGCTGCTGCCTGTAACAAATTACTGATTTATAATAATTAGTATCTTTGCTTCAAAGAGTCATTTTTAGAACCAATTTAGAAATATAGCAAATCCTATTTTCATCTCATGCGCCAGCAATAAAGCATTCTGTAGCCAACTGGGTGAGAGAACAAAAGTAATTTAAGCATTAATTTTTAATTTTCTTCTGTGGTGATTATGAAGTATAATTTGGACCCCAACAGACTGTCTATCCAGTTTGCACTGTCCTGACGCCTCCCATCCAGTTCACTTCTCTTCTGTTTAATTCCTCGTCTTGCCTATATTTGCCGTTGTTTGCCGTGCATTAACTACCCATAATTACTCCTCTGGTTCACTGGTTTGTTGCATTGTAAGACTGTAACTTGTGGGGAAATCCTACCATGTCAGCGAGTTGCCAAATGCAGCCAAGAATAAGATTCCAGATCCGATGACAAACGCAGCTTTCTTCACAGAGTCCCACAGTCCTCCAGGGCCCTCCTGCACAGACGAAAAGCAAAATTTTTATATGAACATATCTGTTTCACTCTGATGAAACCGTTCAATCTCATGATGTTGAGCCAAATCAGAAACGTCTTATGGTGTAGAAATGTCTCAAACAACAGTGAGAGTGTTACTGAAACCTTCATGAGAGGATGACAACACTGTGGCTTCTTAGGTCAAGTCAGTTGTAAGTGAAACACTGATATGCAGAGACAAAGAACACTTTGAATGGCTAATGTTTTCATAAGGATGAGACCTTTAGCACCATGGGACTGCATAGAGATAATATGCAATAATGGAGAAATTGAGACTAAAGAGCAAAATAAATCAGGCTGCAGGAGAGAAACAGTAATGTGACTCTGAATCCTTCATGTGGATGTTGGCACAATGAAAATAATATACTAGGCTTTACAGTTTTTCACACGTTTGCTTTCATTACAACCTAAATAATACACTTAAATACAAATGTGGGGAGCGAGGTGTACTGAAACTGTGGGTGTGTGCAAGAGGTTTGATCTTTATCAGCATCAAAAGCTATTCAACGCATAAAAGGAGTGGAGTCCTCGTGGTCTGTCAGCCCTGTCTGCAGTGCTACATATTTCAAATATGAATGCAGACAGGGCTGACCAGTACATTAATCTCAGATTAAGTTTTTTTTTAACCTTTAGGACATGCAATGTGTATGTATTTAGTGTGACCTGAACATATTTAACAGGTTTTGTGTCACCTCCAGTTTTGCCGACAGATGAATTTGCTCTCGGCTGCAGATGATCCAGACACGTACGTACAAGTATTTCTTTTATTTTGAATAACTAAATATCTATGAAAATGCATTCAGTAAAGGCAAAGTCTGAGCCAGCCACACTGAGAGAAAACTAGATCAGTTCACTCAGCGGGAATTAAGTCAGGGGATTGATGTCACATTCAGCCGACCTTCTAAAATGCCAGCTTTTACCCAGGCTGCCCCTTGGCACAGCCATGGCAACAGTGGGAACAATGTTACACAAATGTCATGCTGGTGTCAGTACTCAGCGGTCTGTGCGGGTTTTTAAGAGCCACAAACATGTCTATGCAATGAATAATCAGATCTTACAGATATGAATACACCTATGCATCCTTTTTATTACCAACAACAACAACGGTCACCTCCCTGTCACCGATCACAGTCCTTAACATTTCTCACGATCACGTACACACTGTAGCCCATTATTTGAGATCCTCCTTTTGTTCCCTGCAGAGCTCCATTAAATAGTGCAAGGGGAAAAAATGCAACTTGTCAGGTCGAGCTAGCTCCAGAGAACAACATTGCAAACAGGAAAGGTCTCATGGAGTCAGTCAGAAAGCACCTTCTTAGTTAGACAAGTCAAGTCAGACCAGCTTTATGTAACAGGACTTTTAAATGCAAATCACATGTTACAAACCGCTTCACAGGTAAATATACGGAGGAATCAGACACTATTAAAAGAGTTGAAGTAATAAGTCCTTAGACTAATAGTAATGTAAAAAGTTATATATAATAGATCACTTTTTTAAACCTTTTAGTTTACCTTTGCAACATTTTACATTTTCTTTGACGCTAACATGAGTGATGACTGATAGTATGTTTTGATTCATGAAAAACTATCAACTATATGGCCATACAGACACTACATAACACTACACAACACTACACAACTACATAAAAACATCATCCCTCGCTCACATCTAAATTCTGAAGATGTGCCAATTTGTGCTGATTTAATTTTTTTTTATCATTTTCACATCCAAAAACATACAAAGATTCTGTTTCCTGTCAGGATTTCAGGACCTCTGATGCAGCAATTTAAAGATTTATGAAACTGATGAAACAAGTTAATGAACTTTAGGAGGATTTGTAGCTCCTGAAGCATTAGGTAGCTATCTTCAAGATGAATAGAATATAAATAAATATGATAAGAACTAGTGGTGGTCAGGAACTACTTAATGTACTAAACCTACTTTTTCATGAGATGCCACAAAGGACTGGAACAAATATTATTGCTTTTCCATTTTTCAAATTAAAAATCTACCTCCACCCAAAGAGTGAGAACAGTGTTACAACAGATCAAACCAGAGAGGCAAGAAAATAAATCATAGATTGTCTAAAAGGATCAATCTTTAGTAGTTTATTATGGTAATAGCAGAGTATTTGGTTGTAACGGTGTCGTGTTCTTACCTGTCTGCTACTGTTGCTGCTGCTTGTTGTGGCAGCACCCTTCGTGCCTGTAAACACAATAATAAATAAACTGTAAACTGTTTATTTTTTATGTTCCAGGTAGAATTAGAACAGATTCTTCACTACAATATGTATTTAAGGGGTTAATTTCAAATATTGTTTACAAATAAAAAAATAAGTGACAGTGGAAGATTAAAGAGGAAATGTTCTGCTGTATATTTAAAAAAAAAAAAAAGGAAGATGGCCTAATCCCAACTGGCTTTCAAAATAATAGTGGGTTTAAAAATCCGGGCTTTTATTTATTTATTTATTTTGTGATCGAGTTTTTGTTTCTTCTTTTGTTTAAGAAAAACCTTCAAAGTACACTTTGATAACACTTTAAAACTCCATATTGTCACATACATGGCCTAATATATCGAACCTACACTGACTAGAAGCCGTTTCATCACAAAAATGTGAGTTAATTAAACAGTCTAAACATCTCAGAGTGCTTTTATCTTTCTATGCTACAATAATCATCTGAGTGCTGTGTAGCCTGGTTGCAAAATTTACAGCTGGAGGATTATACTGGAGGATAATCCTATTATAATCCATCCTCCTTACAGTGAGCACTTTTTCAGCTAAATTCTTGGGAATAACAACCTGTTCCACATCACTCTGTCTCTCTCTTTGTGCTTCAGCACAAAATAGAAAGTTTAGGGACAGAAAAGAACAAAAATCACACAAAAGAAGGCTACACGTATAACACCCAAATTATATTAAAGTCCTCCTTAAGTCAAAAATGTGTTTTTCATGCTTCACCGTGCAGAATGATGAACTGTATGTGCAGAGTTTGACACTAAGTCAGTTTTTTACATTCATCTGCTGAGGGGGGGGGTTATTCTGTGATCAACACAGTTTAATATACAAGATGATTTTGTAACATCACAACTAGTGTTGAAGCCAATCACAAACTTAAAACAGGTTTACACTAAAAACCAACTTTTTAGTGAACTAATAGAAACCTCGTGTCTAGTAGTTAAAAAATATATATTTTTGGAGGACAAACTGGAAAAACCCATCTGATAGACAGAAATTATCATTAAAACTGAGTATTTGTATATGCCTTTAAATGTCTGGAGGGGAGCTTTAGTTATATTATGGCTGGTGCTTAAACATTAATTAATAATTATTTTAGACAATCACCAAGTTACAACTTCAGAAATACAAAGAATATTGTGATTTCTTTTAGTATGACTGTATGATTTAAAAATATATGTATTATTTCCTGTTGATTTAATAAAGGCCTACATGGGAAAAACAACTGACATCAGAGTCTGGGCTTTGAAAAACTTCCCTATTTTAATCAAAGTGAAAATAAACCTAAAACTCAAAACAATACTGCCATGCAGCCACATTTATGAAACTCCTAATACAGCCTAATAAGGTTATCATAGATTATTGATTGGCTCCTCTTGAAAGAAAACACACTAGTAAACAGCTTATATACAGACTTTAAACTATTCAACAGCCCAAATTGATTTAATTAGTCTTTGTTCCTGGACCATTAATACAGTCACACAGCTTTAAAAGACTCCCTCGACATGTTACAGGTGAAATAAAGCAGACTTACCGCGGACTCTTTTGTCCACCGCCATGTCTCCTCTCGGGTTCTCGCCTGTGTTGCTCCTGCGTCCTTTCAACGTGCGCTCAAATCAACCCCTGTATTTACAACAGCGAACAACTTCTGATTGGCTGATTACCCGTCAGCTGACTCAAGCTGTACTCGGAAGTAGCGGCAAGTGTCTGTGTGATGTGAGGATGTGTTTGTTTTTTTCACCCCCACCGACAGTTATTGAGGTGAAGGTTGAAAACCCAGCATGCAGGGTGGTCACTGCGCTGGTGTGATATAGCATTATGAGGGGAAATGAGGTTTGAGTAGTAAGAATAGAGTTTAAGACAGCATCCATTGCAGATATTATTAAGTTTATAATCTGGTTTTAAGTCATTTTCACTATTTCTGACTTATACACCGAAACTGTTAATAAAATTATGCCCAAGAAGACTAAAATCTTTCTATTTGATAAAATGGTGCAGCCATAAGTAAAACCAGTATATGTATGCATACTGTGATCCTTTTTATTTATAAAAGATTGATTCAAAAGTACCGACAAGTCTTACAAACGTGCAGGATAAAGTCTGTCTGCACATTGCAAATGGAATAACCTTTCATTTATAAGTTTCTCACAGTTTATCTCTCTCATTAAAATGATTATAATTCATAACTTTGCCCCTGTTAGTTTATAATTTAGCTCTTTGGCTCTTGTAAAATTATAACTTTTGCTTTATTTCTAACGTGAATGTTTTAATTGATGTTTTTGTCTTTCCTGTCACTTATTTGTCACTTGTGGTTTCTCTGTTTTTGTTTTATGCATTTACTAATTTTAAACTCTTATGTGTTATACTACTAGTACTTATCTAAGTGAGTATAAATAAAGAATCATTTTTTTCCCCCAACCTTAGAAGATAAGCCTCTCAAAAGGCAAAGGTTTTGGTCTTTTCATAGAATTTGTTGACAATAATAACAATATTCCCACATTTATCCTTTAAAGCTTTTTAAGGGGGAATTAAAGGGGAAATTGACAACATAGGCTAGTAACAAAAGAGCATCTTTGTTTCATATTTAGCTTCCTTCTACCCTTTCTACTTGCTTTAGTATGTTGTTGGCCCACTGAGTTTGAGCTGAACCAGTGAAATAGTTTCTGTCTCCAGAGAAGCTCTTCCTCCAAAACATGTTTGTGCACATCTCCCTCATGCTGTTTGGTAATATTTACAACCGTAAGATATTGACCACCCCAGGCCGTTCACACATTCTGTCATTAGTGATATCCCCTTCAGCTATCTTAACACTCTCCAACCCAGATAACCTCCAGGCCTATGTCTGCTGCTCCAACATGTGGCTCCACAATCACTCATTATTATCGTACAGGGGGGTCAGTCCACTATGCTCATTATGTAAAATGTGTATGACTTTGAACACTGGGGATCAGACTGTTTTTAATAAATGGAGAGAGGGAATTGAAGTACACAGAGACTTCTATCTTCTTTATTGCCTGAAACATTAAATTGTTTTTATATTTAGTAGATTTATGACACATCTTATGACACACGCTGTACAAATAAAATTGATTCATATCAAAGGCTGGTTGTGTTATGTCACAGCAGCTAAATATCACATTAATGTTGAACCTGTAGCCACTATAATCTGCACAGATACTGAACAGATACTGTTTTATTGAGGCATAACTCTGTGATAGTAATTTTTACTTCATTACCAGGGTTTTGATCTATTCTTAGATTATCCAGGAGGTGGCGCCAAACTGAGCTACACTGAATTTTATTTTAAAGATTACTGTGTAACCATGTGCTTATTTTATATTAATTTGTCTTATTTATTCTGTTTGTTCTCTCTATGTATTGTTTTATTTCAGTTATCTTTTAAATGTTATGGCAGTGAGGGAGGACAGGCAAACTAGACATTTTGTTGTAGGCTACAATACAACTCTTTTTTATGTGAATGTACTGTAAAAACAAAGCTTTTGACTTTAATTAATATGCAAGAGGAAAAAAACATGCCCAAGTATATAACAAAAAAAGACACCACTCTGAATGTTTTTACATCCTCAGTAAAGCTGATGAAAAACCAGGCGTACAATTAATTTTCATATTCTTGATTAAACTTGACATTGTAAGACAATATTTATCATCTGATATTTGAAATGATGAAATTATCTTTTTCTTGTAAACTTAAGTTCACAGTCTTTAGCTTGATTCCTATTTAGTTCAGTAGTGCAATGTAACTGAGTTTAATTTTGAGGTACTTGTACTTTACTTATTATTACTTTGAATTTATTATTTTATTTCTTCTCATGTTCTCAGGATTTGCTGCATTTCCTTGTCATTATTTTAGTAATTTATTAATAATTTCAATTTATTTTTAATATTGATTGTACCAAACAAGCATTGTGGAGGTGTCACTTTGAGTTCTATGTAACTGTGAGAGCATTTCTCAGTCAATTAATGGAGGAAATAATAGCAGATTAATCCATAATGATAATAAAAACCAATACAGTCCAATACAAAACAGTTTAAAATTTGCTCCACCTCAACCAACTACAACAGTAAAATCCTCCTTTAATGCATAAGTAATGAGAATGTAATAATGTAATAGTATATAAGTCACAATCTGCATTGAGCACTTTTACTTTTCATAATTTAAGGACGTTGACCTAATTACATTTACTGAATTAACTTAAGTATTTTTTTACAGTACAGTATTAGTAATTTCACTGAAGTAAATGCTCTGAATACTTCCTCCACCACTGATTTTATTTACAGTTTTATTGGTGTCAACTGATCTCATGAAACTGGATAAACCTGTGTAGTCTGTAGTCCTCCTGCATGCAGTGGCGTGTTAATAGCTCAGGTCTGACCTCTGGTGTAAAGCCGTAGCCGTTGCATTAGTGTGCTGAAGGGTTTTGACACACATCTGTCACATGAAGTTCCCTTCACAAACACACTCAGTAAACACTGGACTGTTTGGATTCAGATGACCCATTTTGTAATTTGGATGCTTGTGTGTGGATTTAATAAGAAAGCTTCATCTCCATTTCTATGTGGTCATGCAGTTGAGTTAGAATAAATGATTACGAGGAGGCGACTTATTTGACCTTCCTTAGAATTAAACCCGACATTATAATTTGCATTTTCATGAGAGTTAAATATTAAAGTTGTCTTCAGTGGTTGGTTGGTTTTATATTTTTATAATTATCAACAAATTATCATCAACGAATGCAACAATATTGCTCTTTCATGTGTTTTTAATTGCAGTAACAATAGAGTTGTGGTACCAATTCATACAGAAAATGTAATTAAGCTAGTAGTTTAACTACATTTTGCAACAGCTTATTGGTGGTTCAACTACTTTCATATTTGCATTGTAATTCCAGGAGTAAAATTAATTTGCTATTTTTGTGTATTAACTTCTGAAACCTTGAATTTTGCATCTTAAAAATATAAATTTTTCACTACTGTAATTGAACCCTCTTTGAATAGCCCCATATTCTTTTTCTTTCACCCGGACTGCTGTGGAGGCATGCCCAGGCAATGTACTGCTCAGGCAGCGCCCCCTCCACACACACTTGCTCACACAGCACCAGCGTCATTATGGATAAACGTCCCCAATCTCAGCCTGATGAAGTATTACCATGGCCATACTTAAACAAATACATGACTACCTCAACTGACAAAACCTATGTTTTTACTGATGAGTTATACTGACACATTCCATATGAATAGTGAGGTACTGTACTGGTTTATGAACAAGTAGGCACTTTTTGGACTTTTTTTTGTATTATACTTTGTTATAATTCTGTATCACATTGTCAATTTAATAATTTTTCTTACTAAGTAGTTTGAACTACTACTGAAGACACTATGCTTTAAAAGTAACTGGTTGTTAGCAGCACAAACCATTTATTGGTTTTGGTTGGTCAACACAGGATTTGTTGATAAGAGGCCTGAAGATAATTTGACATGTCACATTAGGAAAAGTACAGGCGTAAATAATAAAATCAGTGACTGAATTCCATTTAGCTGCTTCAGTTTCACTGCTATATTGTCATGATTTACAGGGACACTTGACTTAAACAGAAACATTGTTAATGTTTTTAGTAACAAGCATCTATCTTGTGACTCAACAGAGGAGTCAGTAGAGCACTTAATATATAAGGGCCAAATATACTAAAACAGACACAGGAAATTAGTTTGATATGGTATTTAATCTTGGGTCAGAGAGTTAATGTATTTAAATCCTTGAGAGAAACTCAAAAAGAATCTATATTTTAAATTTACTGATTGATTTATTTTGATTAAGAGGAAGAACTAACTCCGGTCCACACCCCAGCACAGTAGGTGGTAAAACATCTTAACATCGGTGGCCACGTCGCTAGGAACACCTTGCTGATGCCCTAACCCTATTAGAGAAACCAATACCTGCAAAGTGGCAACAACAGGGCCAGGTACAGGTCAAACGGAAAGCGTTTACCCATGTGAGATACAAGCCAATCACAGTCTTGATAATCCAATTAAATCCAATCCCACTCCTGCCCTCAGATTTAAAATGTATTGACCACATTTCTGAGAACAAAGTGGACCAATGACTACCTTAATCTTTGCTCTCTGTGTAATGATTTCATTGAAAACAGACAAAAGCTTAGACTATCTCCACCAATGACTATCCTGCAACACTGCACTAAATGTGTACACGTGTATCGTCGTATTGTGTGTCGGTAAGGTCAAATTGCACCATTTTGTGACACAAGTGACACTTAAAATAAACTTAAGAGACAAGATCATAATACATTTTTAGTAAGTTTACCTGTTGCTGATCAGACTTAAAATCAATCAAATTAGTTCATGCAAAGGTTACCTGTTGCCTTATTGTACGATTGGATACATCATTTGGGATTTTATCAATTCATTAAACCTACAGCATGTGTTATCTCTCCCACACGGCCCATTAGGTTTTTATTATAGGCTACAGGTGTTCTGTGTTGAGGTAAGGTCCTCTGTAAATGTTTGACCTCTTGCTGCACATTCGCTCTATCTATTGTTTATATAATTTATTTGTTATATTAAGGCTAAAATACACAGTGTTTTTATTAATACATCATTCTTATCAAACTGTTGGTCCACCACTGAAATATCTAATCAATTATTAGATGGACTCTAGTTAGAGGATGAATGAATGATTTCAGTGATCTGGTGATTTTTTAGCATTCCTTCTGAACACATAGTTAGCATTATTATATAAAGCGATTACCCCCGTGGCTGGAAAACAAAGCCAAAACGGAAGTAACAAAAACTGCAGTTCCCTGAACGTCCACTTGAGGCTGGCTCCATAAAGGCCACATATTAAAATGCCCCAAATTTACAGCAGAAATAAACATGTTTACAGCCTCATTAAGAAAACAATTTCAGTCTTTATGGCTAATTTACCCTTTCATGACAACTGTACAGGTGAATTTTCCATAAAACAAAGCATGTGTTCTGAATAATTAAGGGAACGACCTCTATGAATGACAGGTGGTTATTTTCAGTATGGGGGCTTCATCCAGCTCGCCTCGGCTCCACGTCTTTGCTCATTTGTGCCAAGATGGCGACGACTCACAGCCGACCACGCTTTGAGCTTCATAATGGCTCTTCAGAAACACAACACAGAGACTAATGTCCATTTTTAATTACAGTTAATTGCCTTGATACTGTTTTTTTTTAATTATTTAATTGATGCATTGATGCCCAGTCTTGCAAAGGGATTTGTGGGGGGTGGATACATACAGGGGACTATTTTTACAAAGGTGCCCAGAATTAGTGACACCCCTGGGTTTTGAGAGTTTCAATGTAACAGTAAATTACACTATTTATACTGTGACTACTGGAGAGCATCGATCTGCTCGGGCAAACAGTCAGCATTTCATCTCAGACCACGTGTTTTCCTTCCTCATATTAAAAGAGGTGTAAAGGGTTAAAGATCATCTCGGCAGCAGGGTTTGCTCGCTCTCTCCAGTTGCATCGCTCCGCGGGGCAGCGCTGGCTCGCTCCGATATATTTCAACTCGCTGTGGATTGTGGGAGTCCAGGACTCTGCCCAGGCTTGTTACCGGAGAACCGGAGACATTTTTTTTTCTCGCCGTGCCCTGTTTTTTCTTGTAAGTAATCCGCCGGGTTTCGCACGCCGTCGCGTCGGGTCGAGCGCGGTCGCTTCTCGTCGGCCGAGTCGGTGTGCGCTCGCCGGACTCGGCCGTCAGCGTTGCCATTTGGCGCTTTTGCCTGGCAATGGAGGCCGACAGCGGAGGGCTGGAGCTGACAGAGCTCAGGGAGGTGGAGAGAAGGGGGGGATAGGAGGAGCGGGCAGCTGCCGCCGCTCTCCGGCGGAGGGGTTTATTTCCACAACGAGGAAAAAGCTCGCTGACCTGAACCGGAAAATGTCCTCCGGTCGCCTGACAGCTCGATTTGAACCATTAGTTGAGTCTCCCAGTGTGTGGATGAAATAAATGTGCATGCGTCGGGCATGCGGAAATCGGTTGTTTTTGTCAGTGGCCAGCAGAAAGAAAATGCCCAGTGTGGCGGTTAAACCCACCTACCCACACCTGACCGGAGTGGAGAAATGCCGCAGATGTTGTGTCCGCTATATCTGCTGCTCAATAACGTTGTAATTGGCGGCGTTTATATGTTTGATATGATCTGATGTGTCGTGTGTGTGTGAAATATTTGAATTTACAGCAGCTTTTTAAGAAGCAGCCTGGCCTTTGGCTGGGCTGATTGATTCAGTAACAGACAGCTAATTGGTGTTTGCATCTGGTACAATAAGAGGGACTTCAATCATAATCAATTTTTCTGCATGGATGTATCTCATATTGTATATAATAATATTAAGAGTTTTTTTTATTAGAGTTTAACTATAAACACAATATGCATATTTTATATTTTAATATTTGACCATGTCCAGGTTGCTAATGTCATTTGTTATTAATCAAATATCCGTTTGCAGTAGTGACCAGACAGCAGTAGGGATGATACACAATCTAATCGCATATCGTGATTAAATAAACATATATTTATTGTGGTGAATATCCAGTATCGTAATTAGGGGTGCACAGTTAATCCAAATCAATTTCTTAATAACAATTTTTTGATAAACAGCATTATATGAAACAAAAATCTACGAATCTTGTTCTCCAGATGTAAGAAAGTATGTTTGTTTGTTACAGACCCCAACAAGTGTCTCATCATTATGATCTGAATAGTTTAGTTCGGTGAAAATACAAAAATTATGATGCAAAAGTGGATCATTCCGGCTAATCGTGAACCATATCGCAATCGTAATATTCAGTTTATTTACCATATCGTGCAGCCCTAATTGTGAATATTCTCATATGGCTTGACTTGAAACAGCTGTCTAGTTCGCCAGGATAAAGTCCAATGTTGATTTCCATATTATTTTGGACAAGGGGACATCGTTCCAAGGTTAAACCGAATGTGTGGAGAGAGTATAAACTCCAAAATAAAGATCAGGGAGATGAAGTGCCTGTCTGTGATGCCCTGTGTATATATATGTGTAAGGTAAAGTTTAGTGCTATGTTAAAAGTATGAAGTATATTTATCATGATTATTGTGATAATATCGTGTATCACAATATCATACAGCTAGTGTGACATTAAGGCTTCTATTATCCAAACAAAACACACAAAAAGCCTCATGTGGCTCTTTGGTTATTAATATATCTAAAATACTAAAATCTGTTTAAGTAAGATGTATTGGTATTCAGGAGTTGCACCAAGTGTGTTTTAGGAGACAGATTCCAGCCTTTCATGTCACACTGACAAGAATATAACCTGTCAGTGTTTACAGTCAGAAAAGAAAGACATCCTGAAAGTCCAATTTTCACATGTTTTTCTGTGTCAGAATTGAACTACTGGGACCTGTGAGAGCCCATTGCTTGTTGCAGACCGTTTTATTTATTGTTGATTCATCACTTCCTGCGGGAGACGTGTCCTAACCTAACACTAGGGTTTCATATGGGGAAGTCTGCAACTTTCCAGTCTGGAAAAGCTTTCCTCTGTTTCAGCCTCAGTTTGTGATTTCAGTCAGTAAGATGAGTGTATGTTTTCACCTTTGGCCAACATATATTTAAGAAAGAAGCTTTACTCTGTCCAGTACTGTATTACTGCCTGTTTATCCTACCTGATGTGTCCCTGCAGAGCCTGACACTGGTAGCGGTCTCAGCACCATGTCCAGCCGAGGAGGAAAGAAGAAGTCGACCAAGACGTCCCGGTCAACCAAGGCCGGGGTCATCTTCCCCGTGGGACGCATGCTGCGCTACATTAAGAGGGGCCTGCCCAAATACCGCATTGGAGTGGGAGCACCCGTCTACCTGGCTGCTGTCCTCGAGTATCTTACTGGTGAGATTTATTTTTGGAGAGGAGGGAATGATATATAATTAAATATAAATATTAAATATGCATATTTACATGCAGAGGGCAGCTTATCTACTTACTACAGATGTTTTACTGTCGACTTAAAGAATCTTAATATTCAGTGATATCTACTCAGAACCCAGGTGGAAAGTAATGCAAATAAATGAGGCAGCTGCTCGCAATGAGGAACGTCAGCTTCTGCTTCGAGATATGACAGTTTGTGGATACTGATGAGGAAGCATTTTAAAGCTGTACATATATTCAGAGACCATCTGACCTCCTGGTATTTGCTAAAAAGGTTGAGGGGTTACATTTAAACGGCAGTCCAGTTGGGGACATTTGCTCCAATCTCATGTACGACCACATGAAAGTTAGTCTATTATCGTTAAGTGAGTTTACCTAAACATTCAGAGACATTAACTGATTTTCTAAACCGCTTGTGCTCTACAGTATATATATATATATATATTTTTTTTTACCCTTGTAGCGGAGATCTTGGAGTTGGCAGGCAATGCAGCCAGAGACAACAAGAAGGGTCGTGTCACACCACGACACATCCTGCTCGCCATCGCCAACGACGAGGAGTTGAACCAGGTCAGCAGCGTGTAAACTTGATATTATGTCATGTTTATTTTAAAGTAATCCAATCTGCGTAATCTATTCTGTTTCTGTGCAGTGTCAGGGCTGTGTGAACTTTTTTTTTTTTAAACCTTTATCCTCCTGTCTCAGTTGCTGAAAGGTGTGACTATCGCAGCAGGTGGGGTGCTGCCCAACATCCACCCAGAGCTGCTGGCTAAGAAGAGAGGAGCGAAGGGAAAACTGGAGACACCCGTCTCACCCGCCCCTGAGAAGAAACCCAAGCCGGTCAAAAAATCAGCCAGCAAGAAAATGAGTGGGAAAAAGGGAGGAGGGAAGGCTAAGGTACTGCTCCACAAACCTGATGATTGTGAACACTGAATGCGTTTGTAGTTGAATGTAGGAACTCCTGTTTAACCTCTTAATGTTGTTGTTTTGGTACACTGATTTATAAGCGTGCCATGTTCAAATTAATATCACAACAATAGGTTTTAAAGACTTACAGATTTTGAAAGACAAACTGAAATGATCAAAAATGATTCAGTGAGAACATGAGATAGACAAGAGAGAAATGAGAAATAAAGAGATAAATGTTGATATCGATCATTTGATATCGATAATTTTCTCATACTAACTTAACAAGATAGAAGATCTGGACTGATGCTCATATATCAGCTATTGATCCATTAGACTAGATGGTGTTATAGTAAAAGCATCGTCACTGTAACCGACCCTGGCCTCTCGCATCCCTCCACTGAAAACAACGTTCTTATAGAGGACTACAAAGTGTCACATAGTGTCAACGTCTGTGTCCTCAACAGAAGCAGGGTGAGGTGAGCAAGGCGGCGTCAGCAGACAGCACCACAGAGGGATCTCCTGTTGACAGCTTCACCGTGCTCTCCACCAAGAGCCTCTTCCTGGGTCAAAAGGTCAGTTTTCTGCCTGCAGAAGTATACTAACCCCAGACAGGTCTGAGCTGAATATATAATAAACAGATGAGTCTCTATTGAATGATTGAAGTTTGGGATGAACAGACACCTAATGCATGCCGTGCTAAAATAAGGCTTATAAAAAATGTCTTCAAATGTGTACAAATGGCTGTCAAAGGACTCTTGTGCTCTAAAATGTATATTATATTTCATATTTCTGAAGTCAAAGGAACGAGACACAGTTTTATGTCTTTTCATGGAGATAACTAGATATCTCATTCATGATGAGCAACCAGATTAGTGCTTAGGAAAACTATAAAACAGTATGTTTTGTATTTTGCTCAGCCACAGGATTTCTTATTAAACGCCTGCAGAGCTAATCGTACAAACTCCTTTTAAAATATTCAGGCTTTTATCTTTACTTGCTCATCATAACTGAACAGGGTAAAATCAATCAAAGATGATGTGATAATGTTTTCTGAATTAGATATCTGGTCTCATAGCAAGAAAGCTGTTTGTGATATTTTACTCTATAAATGTTAGTGTAAGTAAGTTTCCATCCCGCTGTACTTCCTAACAGGTCTGCTATAGCTCACCAGACTTCATCTAAGAGCTTAAACTGCTGCTCAACAGAGCGGTGTGCTAAGCTTAAAGTGTTATAGTGGCCACCGTGAATGCTGTGTTAACTGCTCGTCCACTTTATCTCAGATCTGCCAGATCTGTTAGCTCCCCTCGCTTCGGTCCTGCTGAGCACAAAAAAATCTTCTTTTTAACCCCTTTTTATTGAACTGAAGCATGGAAGTAAAATTGCCTGAAAGTCTCATCTAAGCCCTCTCAAAAAAAAAAAAAAAAAAAAAGATCAAGCTTTAAGATCATGAAGATCAGAAGCTTATAAAAATAGATTTGAGTTTGAAAAACATGAAAGGCAGGCAACAACATTGGGAGTAAAACAATGAATGAGTCAAGAATGATGCAAGGAGTGTCACTGATTCCCCTGTTCTCTAATTTTAAACTTATAATAAATGATGGTAATTGCTGATTGTTATGATTTTATAACAAAATACAACATGACGTGAGGAGCAGTATCATTTGAACAGCGTAATCTGTGTAATCTGTTTTTGCCTCTCAAAGCTCTTGTGAGTAATGTAGTACAACACAGAACAAAGAGGATCGTATTGACTAATCGTGTCAACAGGAATGTAATTTGTAGTTGTTTTACAATCGGCTGCTGAGTCATGAAAACTCTCTATTACATATTATTAAAGCGCGGTGGAAGAAAAATTAAATGCACTCTGTAGAGGTGGAAATGAGGGGAAATTTACTTCCAGAGCTCAACGTTTCAGCTCAGTTGTGACTTTAACTGCTGCTAATGGCACTGCATGCTTGGGTCTACTGTGCTTATACTAATACGGCTATATTATTTAATTATTAAATAATATGTGTTACTACATCACATCTGGTTATAGTAATACTATAACCAGATCTGATGTAGTAACATAATGAGACTCTTTGCTTGTGTTTTTTCCAGTTATCTTTATCAATTATCAGATTTCCCATGTTTAGTTTGAACATCACAGGCTGTAGTGTCAGAAAATGTGTTAAAGAATTACAAATCACAGCTTTTTTTGGCCTATTTCTAAAGGCTGAAATATTAGTTAAAACATGTGTATCTCTATCTTGGCTCAAGCTCATTTTAATGCTGGTTCCTAGATGTATTGCATTAATTTGATATTCACCTTAAAGACTCAGTAGCAGCCATATTTGTACTCTCTTCATTAGTAAAAATGGCTCAGTGCTCGATTGTGTAGCTGACCACAGATTACAGCAGCTGTAGAAATCAGTGGATGATAATTAATTAAATGAATGCAGTTAACCCCCCACTGATTAAGATAATGAACCCATGAATAGAAAAGCTAGTCTGTTTCTGTTTTATAGACTTAATTATCGTAACTGCACATTTATTGCCGAAGTGTTCAGCCTCAGTTACTCTCTCCAAATCACGTCTCTGTTGTCACTGCTTTTCACTCACTGCTTTTTTTTTTTTTTTTTTTTTTTATAGGATGATTTGGGCCTTTTATTATCTTCTAGGTGAAATGTGTTCTGTATAACAAATGATTCATGAGTCTCAAAGGCTGGGTATGTGATTCTAATCCAGTACACTTTTTGTCAAATGTAGTGAGCATCTCCACATGGTCCACTAGCTTTCTGCTCTTTGTGTGAGTTGAAAGAAATCCAGTGTTTGTACGCATCCCTGGCTCTGTAAATGGGGAAACAAAGTGGATCAGACCGAGCCACACAACACTAACTTGTTATTCCAGCCAGGATTTGTGTCAGATCACATTAAATGACTTGCCCACAGACATTCAGCTTACTTTCTAGTTTGCCAATATGCTGCTGATGTGACGTTAGCTGTAGTAGCAGGAGAGTTGTAGTGTAGTATTGCTGTCTGGAGCCGGTGTGCCGGCTCAGGAAAACCACCTCATCCTCTCTGCGTGTTACCGCAGCGTGTTCAGGCCAACAACAAAAATAGACAGTGAAAAGGATTTGTTCATACTCATATGGACATCATTCCAGTATCTGTTTCAGTTTAAAAGCTCTCTGGTGTTTCTGTGGACAGAATCCATTTATTTTTAACAAGGCTTTTATTGTATTGTATTTATCAAAGTAGAAAGATAGTGTTGGTGCCACAGCAGAAACACTCTCCATGTAGACGCCACAGTCATGTGAGCCGCAGCAGCTCAACGAGGTAGCCGTCATGCACTGCCCACGCGGGCAGTGTGTCTGAGCTGTAACTGCACCAACTTTGCTAGACCACAACATAGCCAACGTTGGTTACATTACTTGCTGTGTCGTTGTTTGCTTGGTGTTGGATTTCTCCAGAATCACATACCCCACCTTTAAACTCTGAGATACTAACAGGATGTGGCCTATGCATTGAAAATTCTTAACATTTAGAAGGATACCTTGACATTTTGATCTTTTTTAGAATATTCCTTCTGTCGTCAAATTGCTGGCTTTGAAAAAGAAAGTGAGTGATACAGCTAACCTTCACTTAAATCACATTATACAATGAATAATGGAATTATTCTTGGTTGTGCCGCCTTGCAAACAAAACAAGAGTGGAGAGTAAGAAAACTGACTGGCCTTCTATAGGAACAACATACAGAATGTAAGCTGTAGACAAAATCACATAAATACTCTCCACACGCAACTTCATCATAACTGCAGACACAGATACAAAAATAGGTATAATTAGCTCTTTTTTTTTTTTTTTTACATTTTGACATTTCACAGTAGGAAGAGCACATTTTCCCTTGTTTACCTCCCACCAACCCACTCCAACACCACTCTCTATATCTAAAATGACCTTTTTTAACAGTATTTTTCAACCTTCTACATATTATAGCCATTTCTCTTGGCTGTGGCCATTTGTCTGTGTTACACAAATGTAATCCTAATCATTCCATTGACATTTTAGATTATTTATCATTTCTCAATCAATGCACCTGGAGGCCTGCTGTCCTGTTTTTTAATTATTTTAGTTGTCACAATGTGCTTCTTTTAAAAACATGCTCATCCAGAGGTCTGATTTAATGCTGACTAATGCTCATATTTGGCCTTTTAACCTGATGTAGCAGCTAGCAGTAAAACCTTTTGTGTTTTATTCAGTATACACCTGTACATATGACAGAGTGAAGGCTGTCACTCTACATTTAGACATAATGTCACTGCACACAAATACATTTAGCATCTACTCACAGTAATAATAAATCATCAAAAAGTCAAGGTATCCCTTTAAGCAGTGGTATGAATCTGGTTTTAATGGCTTTGCTTCCTCCCCTCTTCCTTCTTGCTCTCCCTCCTCCTTGGCATGCCTCCCCCTCGCTCCCACCCTCCCCGCCTCCCCTTCCGCAGCTCAACCTTATTCACAGCGAGGTCAGTAACTTGGCTGGCTTTGACGTGGAGGGGGTCATCAACCCCACCAATGCTGAACTTGAACTTAAAGATGATCTAGGTGAGCTCCCCCACCCTGGCCATCCTCTCTGGTCCCAGTGAGGTTTGAGATTTAAAATCCTTGAATGATCGACAGGTTGACAGCTTCTCCTAAATGAAACTATCAGTGAATTAAGAACTCTAAAAGTAAGGTTTCAGACTTCCCGACCGGTTTCTTCCACCAGGTGTGTTCATTCACACTGTGGGCAACATGATCATTTAGGACTCATTCATCTATGGAGATCAGCATCCTCTGGTAGCAGGAAATAAAAAATAGTGAATATCAGTTTAAAACTGATATTTTTGGTGAAAAACTTGGGCAAAATCATATTTTTGTTTTAAATTTTAGCCTTCTAAACCTCTCCGTAAAACAAATTACTGTATTAAAGCTCAGTCACATTACCTCAATATTACAGTAAGCCCTAGTGAATGACGCAGCCATTCTCCAAGTACTGACTAATTTTTGCATGTGCCTCAGAGCAATTATAGTCAGCACTTGTTACAAAAAAGGTAGTGTGCTGTATGATCGGTCTTTGACGACGTCTCCTGACCTGGAAAGCGTCGGCTGTAGCCAACTTTCCTCCGCAGAAGTGCTCGTTGGTGACGGTTGCTTAGCTCTCACGAAATAAAAGGATTTGTGGAAGGTGTTGCTCGTAGTGGGAAAACCTGGTGAAGATCCTAACTTTGATCCTCAAGGATGTGACCTTGCTTTTTTTGTACTTAAGATGGAGAGCAGATGGATTTTTGTCTTGCAGATCAATAGAAAATCATACATAAAATACAATTCCCTTTAGCAAGACTGAATGAAATGAACTTCTGTGGATACGTTCAAGGATTTTATCAAAGCTCCTCAGAGCAGTGATCCTGCTTGCTCTTTCCCATCGTGTAGATGTGTTGAGTTCATTCCAGGTTGTCCTCCTTTCAGATGGCTGCCAGACCTTTTTATAAAGCTTAATGATCACCGTATTTCAGGACAGTTATTGGAATGAAATAGAGCACCATTTTTACAGAAGAAAAACTAACACGAACCTCCTCTGTTAGTTGCTCACTGCAGCCTGACTGCAAGGTTGGTGGCCTGGAGTGTGATCATAAAATGCTTTGCTCATTTCAGTGAGCCAAGAAATCAGGACAACACAATTAGTCAGAAGTCAGATTCATAAAATGTTTGCCTGACCCCCATTTAAAAACTTCAAATTTGAGTATTTTAAAATGCACTCGAGCATGCGATCTTGTGTATTAATGAGTGACGATTTAAGTAAATCTGACTACCTGTGCAGTCCTGCTTCCTAATTACATAATGTGACCCACCATGTCCTCAGTTGCTTCTTTGTTTTCTGTGATGTCCTCTGCCAGTAAGGAGCTTGCTCACCTCTCTGTCTCTTTTCTTCCTGTTCTTCTGTTTCATTTCATTTTTTCTACTTTTTTTTTGTCCCATCTTGTTGCTCCTGTTCACCCTCACTGTGTTTTTACCACCATGTTGTTTGCCTGTTGTTTGTCATTGTTGTCATCTGTAGTTGCAAGTTGTCCAAGCCGACATTTCCATCGTGGAGAGTGACGCTGTCGTTCACCCGACCAGCTCCTCCCTCTATACAGGTGGTGAAGTAGGTAAAGGAACCATTGACACCACGGAGACCGCGAGTGCCTGTCTGCTCTCTCTCTCTCTCTCTCTCTCTCTCTCTCTCTCTCTCGCATATTCCAAATAGTCTGCACTGCAGTCTGTGGATGAACATCACAGCAGCAGCACAGTTTTTATTCTGCTGTGTTATTTAGCCAGGGTTTTGCACCGGACAAAACCTTTTAAACCCACAACCCAACCTCCTGCTGTTCTTACTGTAAATGCTTCACTATAGTATTTATGTAATTTGGTGAAACACTGACTGAAAGAACTATTATCGTATCATGAGTGAAAATTAACTTGCAGAGGCTTGAAATGTGCAAGCAGGGACTATTTTATGTATGCAGTTAAGTGCTTGTGGGGAAACTCCAGTTTCCAAGATTTGAAAGTCAGCTGCCAAAGAGAGTTGCAGTCACACGCTATGTTTTCAATAAACCTGACCCAGAAGACAAACCCAATGTGGACTGAAAAGGATCATTTGAATTTGGCAGCTTACTGCGTTCAAAAAAGGCTGTTGGTTGGCAGCTGACTTTTCTCACATATCAGAGATTCCTGCGTTTTTATGCACCGTAAAGGATTTTTTTGAAACTGATAACAATGATAACTTCCAAGAGTAGTAACATTTTTAAAGAATTATAAACCGCTGGGGTGTGTTTTTGTGTTTCAGAAGCCTTCAAACTCACGGATACTTAAACAGGTCCTTCTGGATTGTACTTTTTTGTTGACACACTGTACCTGAAACACACCCTCACCAATGCAACCCCCTTGAATTCTTTTCAGTCTTGAGTCTTCGTCCTAGTAAGTAATCTTGCTTTGTGAGACAGACCCATGCATTAACTGCTACACAGTTCTTATTTGACTTTCCCAAAAACATTAGTAAACGTTTCACTGTCTCAAGTCTTTGCAAGTTTATGGTCACATCATACAGGCACTAGCTAGCCTGCAGAAGGAATATAGTTACTGCTCTATTCACTGATGATGCACAGGTGCTTCACCTACAGCATATGGTGCTTCAGTATGTTACCCTCATCAAATATCCAAGGGCTGTTAGTCATGCAGAAGATGCAGTGTTCACAGAGTGCATCATGTAATGCATACACAACCACATATTTCTGTCAGTTTAATCCTGAAACCATGCTGCTGCTTGTCGATGCTTTGTTCCATGCGGCTGAAATGTGGGCAATCTGGGACTCACTCCATATCCTGTGACCTCTGCCCCCTCAACTGTGCTGTCAGTTCCGCTGGTTAGAAAGAGAATTAACAGAGTGTTTGAGTGTTGATCACTTGTTATTTGAATTCACGAGTGAATGAATGTTTAACTATTTAACCATTATTGCCTACATAACAGGCTGTTAAACTACAAAGATTGTTCTTTTGTATCGGCTTGCTCGTATTGGCTGTTAAATAATTTGGAGAGCTTTTTCCACTAACTTTTCTTTAAGAGGCTGACATTAACCTTATTGTATTTTTCTCCCCTGCCTGTTTTTAATGTAATTGCTGCCAGAACATTAATTTCTCTGGCTCTGGTAGATTTTAATCTCTTCTCTGGTTTCCTTTTGTGGCTTTTCTCTTTAACTCTGAGTAAATCTAAAGCGAAATAACTTCCTTTAGCCATCAAAATAGGAAACAAACAGTTGAATTTGCTTTCCCAATGGCCCTAACCTCTAGTTGTATCTTTCTCCTCTTCAGAATTAGAACTAAGATTGCTTCCTGGACTTGAAATGTGTGTTCAAACGTTAACAGAGCTTTTACATTTTCATTTATAACATGCTGCTAACCGTTTTCCCTTTTTTAAAGAAACTCTCAACTGTGTAATTTGCAAGTGAAAGAAACACTCTCAGTGCACTGCAAATAAGCCAGTGTGTGAGGACAGAGGGAAGTAATTAGGGACAGGGGCTTTAACACATTAGTTTAACTGAGTCAGAATGAGTCATTTGGAAAATAGCAGTTTTGAAACTTCATTTGTGAGACCTTTCCTTGCGTCTCACAAATAAAGTAACAGAGACTCAGTTTTCTGCTTGAGAGCTCAGAGATTCAGAGAGAAGCCCGGTGAAATGATTGACAGCATCGTTGTCTGCCTGGCTACCTGTCTGTCTGTCTCCGCATCTGCCTGCTAGCCTGTCTGTCTGCATGACATCACCTCTCCTCTTTTCTGCTCTCTGTCTCTAGCAGCACCATGTGAGGATGTAATCACTCCTCTGTCTCATTTACAGGCTCTGCCCTGGAAAAGAAGGGAGGGAAGGAGTTCACTGAAGCGCTACAGGAGCTGAAGAAGAAAAATGGCCCTCTGGAGGTGGCTGGCGGTAAGTGCGCACAGAAGGTAGTATGAGGATTTGACTACCAGTACCTGCTGCTTACTTTATGAACAGAGGTTGACATCTCTGCTTGAGGAGCCTGAAGGTATGGCAAAGTTTGGGTTCAGCCTCGATCAAGTCAGGTTCTGCTGTCGTGACTTAAAATGTGATGTTACAAAATTCAGACAGAACATTTATTTTACCAGCCTGTATTCAACAAGCCAATATTATTGGTTATGTTGTTATGGCTTGAGTCCATGCAACAATAGGCCTAAAAGTATTATCCAAAATTAATCTCTGAGACAGAATGTGCTGTGCTCATTATTTAAATGATTTGCAGTGGATAATTTTTTTCCCACAACTTTATTCAACAAAAAATACAGGAGAACTGACAGTAAATGGTATATAAATATTAAAAATGAAGTAATGAAAAGGAAATGAATCATTTCAGTGAGAGACAAATATTGTAGTTGATAATATTGAGAATAAATGAATAATGTTAGACATTAGAAAAGTTTGGGAGTCATGTTTTGGACATATTAGGTCAGATTGTGGCTGTTGATTGCTGTCAGATACAGATAGTTAAGTTAGATTAGTTGAGCTCTATACTGATTGTGAACTTGTTTATGAAGCAAAAGCAGTTTTTTTAAATTGGTGTAGCAAGACAAAATACAGATGATTAAACAGACACAAAAGAAACACTGAAAAATAAGACAGACAGTAGAAGCATGCCGCTTGGATAAGACTCTTAAAGGGGTGTCACTTTCTAAGTGGTATGACTTTGCTATCCTGTACAGTAACAGGTGAAATATGTGGTGATGAGTCTGATTTTAAAAATTGAGAAAAGACAACAGTCATTCCCAACCAGGGGTACTTACCCTATTATTAGGGGATACATAGATGTAGACTATATATTTTAGTACTACATTTTTTATGTTTTAAAACAACGTGATGTGACGATGGCTTCGCTTTGCCTTCGCTTTGCTGCAACTGTCGAAGTCAAAGTCAGCTTTAATGTCAATTTCTTCACATGCACCAGACATACAAAGGAATCGAGAGGACGTTTCTCACTCTCCCACGATGAAACAGATAAAGTGCACAGGCACAACAGATAAGACAAGACATTTCCTAATACTAAAAGTAAAGTATTAAAGACTGTGAATGTAAACCACAAGCCACTCTGCAACGCTGCAATCATCACTCCTTCTCTTATTTCTGTGTTGCAGTTGTGCTATCTCACATGTTTATTACTGGTTTTTGCCTCAGCAACACTGACGTTTCATGGCTTTCTTCCAATGTCACCATTGAAGGGGTTAGAAAGTGCATATTGATCTACTCAAGCACCACCCAGCTCCTATGACAGTGATGTCAGCGAGTCCCGTAAATCTCTCTTCATCTACACACACACACCAAGTTAAAGAGGGCTGGGTCCTTTTGGCGTCAGGACACTGCAGCAAGGATTAGCCCTTTGGACATGAACACAGAGATTTGACCACTATTTTCTTCCTTTTTAAAGGCTATATGTTGCCAGAGTTTCCTTTTTTATTATTGAACTTTTTAGAGAAACTTGTCATGAAAATGATCAAAGCCATTTCGCATTGGCACATAATATCTGTTCTCTGCTACTTTTTGTCTAAAACTACAGACATCAGTCTTCAGAGAGCCATATTGTTTGAGCCCTTACAGATTATTTTATCTTTCAGTCCATTTGTCTCCACTGCTCCTTTCTGTCCGTCTTATTCTTTCTCCAGCTGTCTCTCTCATTATTCATCACTCACACTCACTTTTTCAAACACTCCCCACCTTCACCACTGCTCTCTCTCTCACACTGAGCCAAGTTAGCTCAGCATCATAATCCCGGTCTCTGTGTGGAGCTCATAAATAGATTACCAGGTGACTGAACACCAAGCCAGCAGAGGCTGTCAGGGATTCTGGGGCTCTGGATCAGCCAAAACGGTCATCCTGACCAGACCTGGTTCAGAACAGCTATCAAACAAGTTCTTCAGGATGTTTAAAATACTTGAAAAAAAAGTATCTGCTCATCTGGTCCCAAATTCAAGGCCAGAAAAATAAGGAGTTATTAACCATGTTATTCAAGCAGAAGTTGAGTTTAATCCAAAAACAGGTAGTTTTTAAGTTTGAGTATTTTGTTATACATGGTTCAGTGTGTGAGTGATCTGCTGCATAGATATACAGTATATCATAATTAAAAAAACTGTTAGATGACAATGGGAGCTGTTGGTTAAAGAGGAAGCAATAAGTTAAAGAGGATCACTGGGAAACGGAAGATGATTGGTTGCTGTAAATACTCAATCGTACATTATGACATGTATTGGGAAAAAAGGCAATCCAAACCCTCCGAAAAGAGAGAGGAGGGAATATTTTAATAAGCTAATGGCCAACAAACAAAAAAAAGGAGCATTCGTCTGCGTTTATTCTGCTGTGAGTTTACCACCTGTAATCAGTGGCATTTGCCTGGTAACATAAATTAAACGCTCCCTTAACTGTAGTGTATTTTAAGTCAATCCACTCCAACTCATTCCACCTCCTCCTGCAACAAATACTCACTAATGGAGCTAGATAAATTAACCAGGCAGGTATATCGGGCTGGTCCTCCAGAGAGCACTGACAAGCGTATTTTTAATGTGTAAATATTCTGCTCAGTACACAAAGGATCCCTTTTTTCAAACCTACTACAAGCAGTTTCTAAGTTGTTATGAAACAGTGTCAGTAATACTCAGAGCAGGGTTGGGAAGTCCAAGTATTAAGCAACTCCTTATTGCTTTTGTTTTTTGTCTTATTGTAATTTATTGACAGCAAGGCCACCCACAGAAACTCAAACTACAACAGAAATGTTGCAGTGCTGTCCACATAGTTTGATTGACAGGTGATCTCCAGCTGAGCTATGCACGGACATCACCACATACTTCTCCTCCCTTCCCAAACCATAAAACTAGTTGACCTTTACAGGCAGTCATGAAACCAGTAATCATCATCATCCGCACACTTTACCTCACAACCCGATCACACATTGCAGTGTGACTGGCTCTCGCTCTGCTGTGTGAAGTCTCTCCATCCTCTCTGTGTGCCATCTGGAAATCAGCTCGTTCTCAGCTCTGACTCCGGTCCAGTCACACATTCGCTGTGGGCTAATAAAATCTGACTGGAGGCTTTCTCACTTCACAGAGTCAGGGGCTTTGGCTGAGTTACACTGTCTACAGCTGCTAGTTTGACTCTTCTGTTCTCTTGTCTTCTCTTCCCTGTTCTTCCTCTTCTCCTTTTTCTTTTCACCTCTCCAGTCTGTCTGGAGAAGTGATTTCTCCGGCCCACCTTACTGTAACACCCTGGCCAAACCATTTTAAGCTCTGGGAGATTTGCTACATACATTTTCCACAAAGCAAAGTGTTATTTTAGTATTTCAGGCGTCCAAATTCAACTTTTGAGTTCTGGCAAAACTGATTAATGAAGCTGAGCTTGACTGTAGACAATAGATGTGACATGAGGAAATCCAGGCGAATAAGTTCAGTCATTGACTAAACAAAACTAGATGGGGATGATGCAGCACAGTAGAAAACATATGTTTAAGGTACTGATTTCACTAAATAGTGACTACAAACATTATTCTTTCATTTCATTTCATTATGTTTTTAGTGTTGTGCAAGTCACCATATTTCCTGAAAGTTCCGAAGAGACACCACATTCCTTCAGTTTTTTTTACCTCACTGATAAATGTCATCCAGTGTCTTGTCTGTTTTTGTATAGTGACTTGAATAAATCAAATGTTAGAGCTTGGTAACAGTGGTTTTTTTTATGGCTGTTGTTATTTAAGTTAGGACTGAAGCTATTAGTTGATTCTGTTTCTTTTCAAACTAAAAATGCCAAACATTCATTAGTTTGGGCTTTTTGAACTGCAATGATTTGCTGCTTTTCTCTGCTTTATATCTTTGTAAAGTGAGTATCTTTTCAGTTTGGACTGTTGATCAAACAGAAGAAGTTAATTGACTGCAGGCAAATGTGGGAAATGGGACATTTTTTACAATTTTGTGCCATTTTATTGCCTTAAAGGACCAGTGTGTAGGATTCAGCAGCATGAAATGGCAGATTGCAACCATTTGAATACACCTTTGACTTTCAACCATGTAGGAGAAACTATAGAGGCCATGAAATCCAAAAGACCCTATCTAGAGCCAGTGTTTGGTTTGTCCATTCTGGGCTACTGTAGAAACATGAAGAGGATCCGCTCCCTCTATAGATCTCCCTCGACTCATTCTAATGTAACAATGATTCTTATATTTTCAGGTGATTATGTACTAAAAACTAATTACTAATTAATATTATATTCCATTTCTGCCAATAGATCCTTCTAAATGTTAAACACTGGACCGATTATTGTTAAAGAAATTAATTTGTAATTAAAAATAATCATTCATCTCAGACCAAATTGGATTCTTCATTGATCCTGAAATAATTTTCATAGAAATGTGCAAACAGAAACACAAACTTTTCCTTTCTGCTCCTTCTCCTTCTCTGCTTAGCCCCCATCTTTATTTCCTCTTCCTGTCTCACCGTGATAACCGTTCCTTCATCTCCTCTCCTCTCCATCCCTCAGCCGTGTTGACCTCCGGCTACGGCCTGCCTGCTAAGTACGTCATCCACTGTAACAGTCCGGGCTGGGGTTCCGACAAGTGCGAGGAGTTGCTGGACAAGACGGTGAAGAACTGCCTGGCTCTGGCCGACGAGAAGAAACTCAAGTCTGTGGCTTTCCCCTCCATTGGTAGCGGGAGGTAAGAAAACACCGCTGAGAAACGACGCATTTTGCGATCCTTTTATATTGCTGTGTCTTCATTGACAACACAACTGCTATACATCCTGCAATTCACTGTACATCAACTTGAGGGTGTTTATACTCTGGCTTTCTTTTAGTCTAAAACTGGAAGTCATTTGCCAAAAAAAAGTGTGGTAATATGAACACTTTGCAAACCTGGTTCCAGACCAAGAAACTGTACCTGACTGGAAGAAATGTCTTTTCTCACATCTTCATAACATCATGAGTGGCATTCAGCAATGCGCTGTCAGCAATAAAATGCAATGCTCGTGTGTCTCTGCCAGCTCGCACACTTTTTTTCTCTTTTTCTTCTTTGTGTAAGTCAAAACGGGAGTTGACATGGTTTCCTGGCAACAGTGGTAAACACCTCCACTTTGATCTAGAGAGATAAACATACCATGTATTTGGAACAACAGTAAGAAAGCGTGGAAGCAGCAGTGGAGGTTCCAGCAGTGACCTTTTTGGCTCATGAGCCATCTGCTTGTGAACCCTCGTCACAGGTTTAATGCTGTATGTTAATGAATTGCTCCAGTTCAACCAAAAAACAGGAGAACATTTTGAGAAAAGTCTCACAAATTAAACTAAAATGTGTTTAGTTCCACTTTTGTCCAGACTGAAATATCTCGACAACTATTTGATGGATTGCTGTGATATTCAGCATTAATTCTAATGACTTTATTCATTTCTTTTTTCGTTTTCTACTGTGTAAAGCACTTTGGCCAACTGCAGATTATTTTTAATCGTTGGCAATATACATAGAATGACTTCACTGAACTTTGGTGATCCTCATGTAGCGCCCCCATCAGGTCAAAAAATTCTGTTTGTCCAATACTTTGGTTTATGACCTAATACTTGCTAATTCTAACTAATTAGTAAATGTTAGCATGCGAAAACGCTAAACTAAGATGGTGAGCATGGTAAACATTACACCTGCTCAACATCAGTGTGTTAGCATTGTGTTAGCATTTAGCTCAAAGCACAGCTGGGCCTCAGTACAGCCTCACAGAGCTGCTAGCATGGCTGTGAACTCTTGGTCTTGTTTTTTTATTTGCACACTGGTTTCATATTTCACTGAAGACCCCTCAGATTTAACTTGCGAATCATTGTTGGGTCTGGACCCACAGGTTGGAAACCGCTGGATGATAAGGGGTCAGTGGAAGTCAGGTTCAGACTCAAACAAACAGCTTTAGTGGTGTGCAAAGTTTCACACTCCTTTTTAAGAAAGATAAGAAAGATTTGAGCCTGGGATGAAAGGAGTAAAGAAGTTAGTTAAAGGTTCTTTGTGTATTTTAAATGTTGAGTGAGACTAGACTAGGTCTCAAAAATATGTATGCTGACCTCTAACATAATGAATGCCACAGTCATGGTCGAGTAAATATAAAATGTCTCTCCAGCCTTTGACCACATTTCGCTAAGTGTGTGTTCTTTTCTGTCAGGAATGGTTTCCCGAAGCAGACGGCGGCACAGCTGATCCTCAAGGCCATCTCCAGCTACTTTGTGGCCACCATGTCTTCCACCATCAAGACCGTCTACTTTGTGCTGTTCGACAGCGAGAGCATCGGGATCTACGTGCAGGAAATGGCCAAGCTGGAGACAAGCTAAGAGTTTGGAGGATTTGCCTCCTTGTCCCTTTTTCTCCACTCTGTTTTTTTCTTTCCTGCGAGGAAATAGGAAGGTGTTTAATAGTGATTTGTTAAATATGAAGAGAAGAAGAAAAAGAAGATTCTTTCTATAGGCCGGGAACTTGTTTTTGCATTACGTTTGTAATTTTTCCTTTTATTGTTTTTAATTTCCTATTTACTTGTTCACCTCTGGTGTTTAAATGTAAAAGTGCACTGTTCATTCTGCGGTCTTTTAATACAAACGGTGCCAGACAAAACAGATTCAGCAAGTGAAAAGACTCACTTTAAGATTTAATTTTCATGGTATATACGGTAAAAGATGTTATGAGAGATACACCTCAATTACCAGGCTTCCAGAGAAGTCCGATGAATACGGGTTAATGCATGTAATGGCAGTAAAGATAGTAAAAACAGCCATTCTCTTTATTTTGATCTCAAAAACACAAGACACTTAATTCAGTGTATTTTTTGGTATCAATTCTACGTTTTGGAACATCTCTGTTCTTAATAGTACTGTATAATGAAATGGTAAAGTATTGAGAAAAGTTCAGTTTGCTCTACTTTGGTCTTCAGGAGACTAAAAGAACTATGGAAGGAGTTTTTGTTTTTGTGTTGTGCGTTGCAAATTCCTGTGTTTGCCTTTGTTTAAACAGGCAGGTTTCCTTGTGTGCTGCAGAGACCTTGAATTTCCAAAAAAGAAACGGAATCAGTCGAAAAGAATTGTCATGTAAATGCCCATATATTATATACTCATGCTGGTACTAATGTCACAGGTTTATACTGTAAACAGAACAGCTGTCGTTTGTCATTTACAGTAAAAAAAAAAAAAAAATGATATGACATAAAATGGTAGAATTGGAGATTTGAGGTTTTTGCAGGACACAAATGGTTTATATTGTGTGTTCCTATGACTGTTTATATAGATGGAGTATTTGTGAAATGTTATAGTAAAATATTGGACTGTAACATAGATTTTTATTTTCTATTTTAATTTTCACATTGATTCTAAAAGGTGCAGGTGATCTGGAAGCAAAAAAATAATAATATTGTAAGAGATTGTTTTTTTGTGTGTTTTGTCTTTGTTAAGCCATAAAACAAGTGTACGCATTTTTTGCTGGAAGTAGAGGCTCTCTGCTGTTGCTTTTGGTTTGCTCTTCCATTCAGCCGCCACTAGATGGCTCCCTGTAATCAAGAATTGGATTTTCATCTCAGCCATTTTCTGTGCAGCAGCAGGCCTCTTCACACAGACGCTGATCGATTTGAGTTGGATTTGAATTGGGATTGACGGACGTATATATAAAGGAACCCGACTGCTCTGCTGCATTTGGACTTTTCAAAAGCCTAACTTTCTTATGAAAAAAATAAAAATATGTTAAATGCTTTCTAAAGAATTGCTACAATTGATGATTCTACAAAAGGTCTGTACACACTCCGGTAATAAAATACCTTTAAAAACATCAATTTGATCCTCTCGACATTATGAGATCATTTTATGTTTCATGCTGTCCTTCAGGATGCTGCCAGGAACTGTGGGCCTCATAAAATTAAAAAGGGGTGTGTGTGTGTGTGAGAGAGAGAGAGAGAGAGTGTGTGTGAAGTTTAATTGTAAGACAAACCTTCATTGTCCCCCATGGAAACAAGTGTGTGTGTCTTTTAATGTAATAACAATCCATCTCCGCTGTATTAAAGTAAGCATAATTTGAAGTGTTGCAGAACAAATGGCAGAAGGATGTCATGCTGCATTTATTTGATTTGACTGAAAGCCACACTCAAAGCCTCTGGAACCCAAGCTCAACCTCCAGCTCTACAAGCATGTGTGTGTCTCTGTACTGTACTTAAGAGGACCCAATTGTCTCACAATAAGAAAAGAAGATTATCAGTGTGAGGACATTATGATGAGCTAAAGTTAAAGTTGAGTATATGGAGGCTTAAAGGAGCTTTACGTATCTTATTGTTTGGATGAGAATGCCGTTGTTGCTCAACTTTTAACTTCCCCTAGTGATGAAATTTCTGATACCAACTATTTTCTGGTCTATAATCTGTTTTGCATACAGCCTTTCAACACCAGATCCCCATTCTGCAAACATGCAAACTCCAGGCAGGCCTCTCAAACCCTTGCCCTAACGACAAAGACAAACATTTCTACACCAAAAATATTCAACGGTGTTAGAGCAAAAAGCTGGTGGTGGAACTGTTATCCACAACTTTCAGCTGTTGTCTCCAGATGTGAACCAATGTCATTGTGCAATGACAATGCATATTTGTGTATTTCAAACATAGTGGGCTCTTGTTGGTACGAATAATGACTGTTCTTGTGCAAAGTGACTGACATGGGAGACGTAGTTCACATCCCTTCTCCTATTAAAAGTCAGTGTTAGCTTCTTTTAAAGAGCACCATTCTCAAATCTTAAAGCAGCAACAACTGATGTTTTGGCCACTCGGGTGCAGCGTAAATAAGCTGTAAACACAACACTGGCTTATCCCTTTTCAAGTTGGTATGGCAACTTGTGTTAGTAAACAGTGTTGACTACTTACACATTTAGCAGCCACTGAGCAACATTAGCATTTTTCGGAGCATGTTTCTGGAGACCTGGCAACTGTAAGTCAAATAGTCACTCTCCTTTTAGCTCTGCTTTTGGTCTCCACCAACTCCTGAAGGAACAATCTTCAACTGCTAAATGCTTATCTATGTTCACCAGCTAGTCTCTAACTTTGTATTTCATCATTTGATGCTGGGTAAGTGGCATACAGAGGGTTTATCAGAGCTTTTAAACTTAAAAGCACCACTGCTATGGCTGGAAATTGTGTTAGTTATGTTGATTTTGGGGGCTGGAAAACCAAAACAACCAGCTAAAGAACACTAAACTTACTGTAGAGTCGGGTTTGTCACTGCAAGAGACCCATTTGATAGAATAAGTCTATATGTGATACATTGTTAATATAGAAATATTGATTGTGGCCGCTTTAATCAAATCGTTTTATTTACCTAAACGTAGAAGAGCTGGGCTTGTTCGTATTCTTCCTTTTACATTGCAGTGCCAGATCAGCATCGATTCAATTCGTGAATCAGAAAATGGCTACTAATGAAGTTTTGTATCATACATATGGACTGAAACAACAATCAAGATTCGGTATGAACCTACCATTTTGTTGCAGTTCTTTAGCCACTCTTTGAAGGACCAATCCATATATTTTTGAGTCATTTCCCAGTCACAATTAAAACATCAGTAAAACAAACCTTGGAAATCAGAAAATATTAATACCGGAGATGTTGTTGTCTAATTCAAGTCGCTCTCTCTTGTTCCTACAATTCCACACTAGAAGGATGTCTTCACATTTATCTGCTTAAAGTGGAAAGTTTCTCTGTGGTCGATGAAAATCTGATTAAGGGGCGGGGCTTACCAGCATGATTTGTGACATCACAAATAGTTTGAGAGCCAATCCTGGTCTGGAGGAGATCTTTAAAGATATCAATCAACGTCAGAGTGATAGCAGTATCCAAACCTGTGTTTTTAATGTCGGTGTTGGGGTGGCCCTTTTGTTCACGTTTAGATTACGGATTGGTCCTTTATGGATACATATATAGAAGGTTCAAATGTACCAGGTTCATCCGCTTTGCAGGCGGCGGAGTGCCGGCCTTTTTGTGGGACAGAACTTAGGCCTTAGTCCTGTCCTCGGGCTATATGCTGGCAGGGCACAAACAAGACCACGGAGTCAGATGGGGGTCAGTTTCCCAGCCATCCAGGGAGGCCGGGACCTGAGACCTCCTCTGAGGGCGCCCATCTGACGCCTAATCCCCAGGAAATACAGGCAGGTTTCACCCCCCCCCCCCCAACCCCTCCCATCTCTTTCCTTCCACCCCACCATCCATCCCTCCATCCCTCCCTGCTTCTCCTCGGAGGCAGAAAAGCCCCATAAATTCAAAGCATCTGTACGGGCAAGGGCCAATCCGAGGGCCGCCTTTCCCAGAGCCCGCGCAGATGAAATTTTATTCTTTGCACGAAAAAATTACAGGGGGAGGGGGAGAAAAAACAGAAAATAAAGTAAAGCAAACAGTGGGGGAAGATCAAGGAGGAGAGGAGATGAGGGGTAAGGAGCTGGTCATCAGAGATTTGGCCTGTTTTCCAATGTGTTCATAAGAAGAAAGTAATATTATGTTCTTTATGGTTGAGAGTCCTGACTGGAGCCCGATAACAACAACAGTCTGCTTGCAACTGCTACTGATTTCGGACAATTACTGACTGTTGGCATTTATCTCGCCTTCGAACGTGGAAGAGACGTACCAGTTGTAGTAGATTATGTAGGTCAAAGAAAAGGCCAACGATCCTTATGTTATTTCAAAACTTGTATCACTGTTGGTTTTTGAAAAAAGTGCCGTCAAAAAGTAATAGAGTGACCACATTGCAATACACAGCTGTAATTGCATCATATACAAATACCTTTATTTTAGTTAAATGCAAAGTGCTTTGATTTCAAGCTGTTAATTACCCAGGTTGAAGTCGCACTTAGTAAAAACAAATTGTTTTTTAAAAGAGAAGATAAAAGTAAAATAAAAACCAACCTAATGACAAAAAAAAAAAAAACAATCCAAACAACATTAACAGGACATGAAAAACTTAAATACATAATAGAGTATAGAGATTATCCAGCTAAAGTGTTCATACTGGTACCTCAATTCTCAAGTAACCATCCAAATACATCAGAAATAAAAAAAAAATAGACAATCAAGAATGCTTATTTTGTAAAATTACCTCATCAAGAACAAGTCATTTTTGGACATTTAAGCTAAAGTGAAACCAAATGTATTGATATTCACAGTGTATTGTTTTTGCAGTTAATACAATAAAATCAACTCATATTTTACTGTTTTGTACTTTCATGAAATTATGCATTCTTACTTTTTAACCTTCACAGACACAGTGAAATGTTTTCTCAAAAGTAATATTTATTTTTATGCTTTCCAAGGTCTTCCTGGTACTGTTTCAACGTCATCCACAGATTGATTTAATGCTTTCCAGCTGTGAATAGCACCTCAGTTTTCCATTGTGCATTGCATTGTGAGTGGGATCAACAGAAAGTTAGAAAGTCTCTTTTTAAGCATGCTATAGACTCAAAACATGCTTAGAATCAGAATGTTATGAGGGATTGAGACACAGCTTATGTCTCCTTTAACCTCTAAGGGTGCATGGACCTCACTTTGGGAAACCAGTGCAGCAAACTACTCTCCATGTTAGAATAAGTTAATAAAAACCTCCTAAACCCCTCTGCGGTGAAACTGGTTTTCAAGTCAAGCAGGAAATAAAGCCTCTGTGAAGTATATTTGTGAGCGTGGTTGCCGTTTTGTGCTTCTCAGCGACGGTTAAACAGTAGCCTTTGGTTGTTGTTGGTCAGAGCCGGGTTTCATGTGGTCGAGGACAAAGTCACAATGAGAAACTCGATAATTTCCAAGAACTCGAGAGATGGATTTACACATGAGCAAAAAAATATTGGATTTGACCTCATGTGACCCAAATTGGGTATTTTCAGAAACCGTGGAATCTGGGCTCAGATTAGTCCTGACTCAACTAGAATGAGTCATTTATAGTGTTAGTTTTGATTTGTGCTGGATGAGTACGAGTTTACCAAATGAGGAAAGTTCAGATAGTATCAAATGTTTAAACAGAGAAAACCTTTTTGGCTAAAAAAGTTGTCTGTTCACCTCCTCTCTCTCATTTTTCACTTTTCTCTTGCCTGCAGCGGCCTGCCAAAATGGCATCACCGGTGAATCTCATCTCAATCAAAACTAAAGCTACAGCGCTTTACCTTGGGTTTTCAGAAGCAGTCGTAGTTATTGTAAAAAAGAAAGAAGGCTCTCTTGTTCTCCAGGTATTTTTATAACATTAGAAAGGCTCCACAACATGTAGAGAATAAAATACATACTGCAACAGTAAATATACATTTATTTACACTGGTGAGTCTCAGGTTATGAGAATCTGTTAACTGAATTTTTTGTCGAAAGCAGTTGTGGTTCTTGGCCGATAGTCGCTTTTTCTTCTGCATTTTGCAACCGTATTGCTACACAGAAAGTTGAGTTTGGCTGTTTTTGCAAAACCACAATCACGTTCAAGTATGAAATAAAATCTATTCTCTCAATCAGATTTTGACTAAAAGTGATGGGGCTCTCCATGAACACAGTATTCTCTGCCAAAAGTTGGAACAATTTTGGTTGATTCACACACAAGAGATTTCTGTTTTGTTTTCTGACTTCAATCTTCTCACTGTATATAAGTGGGCAGAGCTCTGTTGGAAAAAGTCTGATGTTAGTCATATATGAATCAGAGTCTGATGGCAGTTGTTCCCTGTTTGCTTAAGATGCCACCATCAGTCAAACCTGATCAACTCATGCAGTCCTGATTGAGCAGTGTTAAACTCTGAATAATACCTAAACACATCTACAATCTTTCAATATGTAAAAAGTCTGT